TACAGAGATGATTAAATGACAGAGATGCTAAATGACACTCAGGTTTGATGACCAAGACTGCAAGAGTGATAGTTTTTCCTTTCTCCAGTTTTCACCTTCTAGATTGAGTGTTGTAGCTATAGTCTGGGATTGAGTGGGATTGAGAAATGTGATCTTCCAGATTCCTCAAGGAAAAACGATGAAATTCAGCACTTACATGATGTCCCCTTTGCCACAGAAAGTCACTGGGATAGCTCAGGAAAGAAACACTTTCTTTCCTGAGCTAGACATGCTCAAATATCTTGAAGCCATGGTGTATGGCATATATGGTGATAATGAGTCATATCATAGCCTATGATATGATCCTAAATTTCTAGTTTATTATGGAGTGTGATGACAAGGATGAGAAACCTTTTATTTGTTTAAGTGGAAAGGCTTAAGCAAGATAAAATATTGAAAGGTACCTTAGAGGAGGAGAAAAGCCAACATATGACCACAGATTTCCTAAGGAAATAATAATTAGGAAGTGTGAACTTGTGGTAAGCCTCTGAAGGAAAAAGCAGGCCTAGGGTCAGGACCATGGAAAGAGTCACAAAGTGAAGCAGAGCTTGTAGAAAGAGTGTGGTCAGCAGAGTTTGGGATCTGGGAATCTATAACTATAACTGCCAGATGTGGTGTGAGTTTTCTCCAAGAGTTCTGTATCACTGGAGACCTGACATAGAGACCTGTGGTCATACTACACTTCTCAGAACTTGGATTTTGTCAGGTCATTCTCTTCAAAGAGGATATGGGTAATCGCTAGTCACAAATATGTAGTGTCCAGGGATTTAGGCAAAACTGGCCCTGCCTCTGGAAGTTGGGGGGTTATATCTGTAGTAAATTAGAAGGTGTGCCTTGCTGGAGGCAGAAAGAACACTTAATGAGACAAACTATAATCACAAGGAAGCTATGGATCACTGTAACAGTGAAAGGGTTGTTAGTGATAATATGTTTATAGCAAGTGCTTGCTTCAGCAATCAGTGAAGATGCTCTCTATGTGTCAATTAATTAACTAAGTCAAGAAAATAAGTGAAAATTTAATAACTTTAAAATACAGAACAGACTGATATGTCTTGCTGTGCAAGCATCATCAGGATCTAACTTCAGGGACATGGGACTCATGTCTGTATCACATGTCTGTTATCCTAATACTGGGAGGGGAGAGGAAAATGAATCCAAAGACTCTCTGGTCATGCAAAACAATGAGTTCCAGGTTCAGGGAGAAACCCTGTTTGAAAAAAAACCAAGGTGGAGAGTGATAAATAGAACACTCAACATTGATCTCTAGCCTCTACATGTGCACACACAGGCAAGCACACCTACAAACACATATTCTCACAATACATCTCACACACACACCTGCACAACTGCATGCTTGCACCTGTTAAATGATGGTGTGTGTGTTCGAGTGTAAGTACCAGCATTTTAAGACCAGACATCAACTTCAGGCACATTCCTCAGAGAAAACGTTGATTTTAGTTTTACAGGCAGGACCTCTCATCTAGGGCCATACCACACTGAATGTTCCTGATTTCATCTGATCCAGGTACTCTTCTTACTAGTTTGGAGCTACCCAACCAGGCTAGACTGGTTAGTTTCATGGATTAACCTGCCTTCACCACTTTGTCCCAGAATTTTACTTAGGGACTAGGGCTGGAGTTTACACTCAAGTCCTCATCTTAATGGCTAGTATGTGACTGACTGAGCCATCTTCCTGGATCCCAGGATTATACTTTCTAGGTAAATATGTCTCATCCCATTCCTGCTTTATAGTTGAGGTGTTTAACAAGGGTATTATTTAAATTTAGCTTTCCTTTCTTCACTTGTATCATGATATGATATGATTGCAATGAAATTTACACTTAAGTATGACCCAATATTTTCAGAAAAACCCATTTTTATCCCTTCTCTTTTATAGTTAATGTAAATTGTACTCTTGAATGGAATCCCCTAGGCCTTGAGGGCTCCTTCTCTGAAATGACTGGTGGATATTTTTTAAACCCAGGCTTTCCCACATTGTCACTTGAAAAAATTGTCAATATCTTGAATTAGGGTAAGACTTATAGCATTTCTTAGCACTACTGCATGTTCTATTAAGTTATTGAATCATAAAATAGTTAAGGATATTAGGAAACTTATAAGGGAAATTTTAATTAGGTAAAAAGATTTTTGAGGCATTCTTAATCTTACAGTATCATAATTTGTTCATGATGGAAACCCAATAATAGACAGTTTCTTTTAAAGCTCTAATTGCATTTTTAAAAATTACAAACTAGAGAGAATAAATTGGATCTCAGAAATGGGAAAAAGCTAAACTGATTATCACTGTGAGTCATGAGCAATTGGAAGAAGAGATCACAATGAACAAATTTCTAAAGCATTATTAAAAACTGCTATTAGAATAATTAAACATGAAATTGAAATGAAATGGAAAACAAAAACAACATAAAAACTGCACCTCCAAAGGAAAATTAAATGCCAGATCACATAGTCAATGGGATTGGCTATTAAACAAAGAAAGCATTCACAGCTGTAAGCTATTTTTCTACAGACAGGAAATTGTGGCTGCTTGCAGTACAAATTGTGGGGCATTATTATTAGTGTGTGTTATATTCATGAATGGAAAGGAAAAAACCATTCTTTTCAAAATGAAGATGTCTGAGGCTCCCATGTTCTCTATGGATGATTCTTGCCAGTTAGATGTTAATACTAAAACCCACCAATAATCTGACTAACTTGTCATCTAGAAGAGACACTATCCTTTTGAGTTTATGTGATGCTTACCATGCAATCATTGATTACCAAAACAATGCCTAATGTTGCTTTTGCTTTTCTTGAATTATTGGCATATTTAGTATTGTGTTGTGCTCATGATTACTTGGGGTTCTATTACTACTATTTTAATTGTTATAAACTAGTGAGAGAAGGATAGAATTAAAGTAAAATATAAAGACACTTTGGAGCCAAGTTAAAGTCAGATGATATCATAATAGTTGAACTATCAAATATGTCAGATTAATCTAGATAGAAAAGAGATACTAGAAAAGTGTAATGCAACAACGTAGACTTGCCAAATTTCAAAGTGCCAGTTCAGTAAGAACTCAATGTTGGACGCTGTGCATGTTGCAAGCCAGTGAGTTCCAACAAAAAATTTATTTAATAAATTCCTAATTTGAAGTGTTTATATTTAATTTATACATTTATTTGGTGGTGTATATGTATGTATTATGTATAAATGTTTAACTTTCTAAGTTAAATTGAATTATTCCAAAAGCAATTTAAGGTCTAGAACCAGACAATTTAGTTACTTCCACATGTCAGGATTTCATGGGATTAGAGAGGTAGACCAATGGTTAAAAGCACTTGTTTCTCTTTCTAGAGGACCCGAGTTCAGCTCCCAGATCCACGTGGGGCATTTCACGATATTCTGTACCTTCAGCTTCAGGGATATAGTAACCTCTTCTGGACTCCACAGGCATATACATGACAGACACCCACACAGGCACATACACACGTTTTCAAAAAATCATTACTAACGCTTAAAAAATTGATTTAAAGACAGTTTCACAGTGTCTGTCAAAAGTATACCAAAATGGAGTATTTGTCATAATTTGTTTACTGTTTCACTGCTCTGATGTTTATAAATTTCTTATGTTATTGCTGAAAACAAATTTTCTGTATGGCCTAACTCTTTAATGGTAGTTACACATAGACATAACTCAAATTTGTTTCTGATTTTTTGGTTGTTTAAATATTCAGTTACAGAAGGATAACCATCATGATCTCTGTTAACATACATGTGGCTTTTATTGCATCAAGGAATAATTTTCAGAATTTACTTTGGGAACAGCAGCATACATTTATAATTTCCCCTTTCTAATCTAGACAGACCCATTCCATTCAAATTTCTTTGACTATTTTTAATTTGACCACTCAAAATTCTAAATAACTTGTATTTATGATTACTTGGGCGTTATTATTTTAAAATAGAATACTCAGAAATAAATATACAGGGCCAGAAAGATGGCTCAGTAGGTAAAGGCATTTTTTTTTTAATTAGGACTGACTACATGAGTTCCGATCTTCAGAAACCACAAGTGGAAGGAGAAAACCAGCTTCCCTGAGAGTAGCCTTCTTGTCTCCAATCCACTTGGTGTGCTTGTACTAGCCCTTGTTTCTGACACTTTAACACGAGTGGGTGTGGGGCATGCATTCGTGGTGTGTGTGTGTGTGTGTGTGTGTGTGTGTGTGTGTGTGTGTGTGTAAACTTTGAAGGACATCCAGAAAAGGCACACTTATGTTTATAGAACCTGCAGAAATAAATAGGAATTGCACTCACTTGCTTTCAAAGAATTTCTAAACGCAATTGTAAACGAAGAACAGAATGTTAGAGTACATTAAATGCTACGAGAATAAACCACAGGAACTTAGAAGGTTCAGAAACCGGGTTCCGGCAATTATTGGCAGTTTCTATAGTCGTAGAGTTTGGTCCTCAACTACTGGTTAGGTCACAATACACCCGATACAAAGCACCACAGGCACAAATATTGGGACTGTCAAAGTGAAACCTAGATGTTTTCCGGTCTTTGCCTAGTGCTTTTTAATCCTCTTCACTACGCATAAAGAACTTGTACTGGAAACAGGCAATTAATAATCAAATCTCTCTTTTAATGGAAACGGGGTTACAAATCAGGCAAAAACAGTTTTGCGTTCTTTCTCTATTCGTCTTACACTAGGGGAATGTTATGACATTTTTATTGCGCCTCACCTCTCTTCCGACTCAATTAAAAAAAAAAAAGTCAAAGCAGGAAGACTGGTATGTAACCACACCAGCCACGCTTCCTGCCTTCCCAGCTGCCCTTAAGCAAGATGGCTGGCCCCTCCTGCGCATGCGTGCCGCAGCCAGCCGAGCGGCGGCTCGGTCGCATTCGCTGGCGTTCGGGACAGCGATTGGTAGGTTGCGTGCGGGGGGCGGGACAGGAAGTTCCGGTGTTTTGGTGTCGCGGCGGCTCCTTCCCGGAGTCTGTCCCGTATCCCGGCGGTGCTTGTGGCTCCTGCCTCGCGAGCCGGCTATGGGGGAGGCAGAGAAGTTCCACTACATCTACAGCTGCGACCTGGACATCAACGTGCAGCTGAAGATGTGAGAGCCGCGGGGGGAACGGGGGGCGGCGGGCTGGGGCCGAACGTGCAGAACCCGCACCCGGGTCCCCGAGGCGCACGGAGCCGTCTGCAGACTCCGCGTCTGTGGCTGAGAAGAAGCCGAGTCTTCGGGGGAGCGGGTTCCCCCGCCTAGGAAAGAGGGGGACGACCTTTCCCTTAGAGCAGGGCCAGGAGGTGGGGTGCGGGCTTTGGCGAGTTGTGAAGATGGGGTCCCCGAGCTCGGGAGTGCAGTCCTGGAGTCGTGGAGATGGGGTCCCAGAGCTCGGGGGTGCAGTCCGGGAGTTGTGGAGATGGGGTCCCAGAGCTCGGAGGTGCAGTCCGGGAGTTGTGGAGATGGGGTCCCAGAGCTCGGGGGTGCAGTCCGGGAGTTGTGGAGATGGGGTCCCAGAGCTCGGGGGTGCAGTCCGGGAGTTGTGGAGATGGGGTCCCCGAGCTCGGAGGTGCAGTCCGGGAGTTGTGGAGATGGGGTCCCAGAGCTCGGGGGTGCAGTCCGGGAGTTGTGGAGATGGGGTCCCCGAGCTCGGAGGTGCAGTCCGGGAGTTGTGGAGATGGGGTCCCCGAGCTCGGGAGTGCAGTCCTGGAGTCGTGGAGATGGGGTCCCAGAGCTCGGGGGTGCAGTCCGGGAGTTGTGGAGATGCGGTCCCGGTGCTCGGAGGTGCAGTCCGGGAGTTGTGGAGATGCGGTCCCCGAGTTCAGTGGTGCAATCCCGGAATCGTGAAGATGGGGTCCCTGAGCTCGGGGGCGCAGCTTTTACTCCAGGCGAGCGAGCCTGTGGGCGGTTTGAGAGGGAGTCGGGGCCCGAGGCTGGTAGCCAGTCCTCCGGGCAGCGTTTTAGACAGAGGTCAGGAGCCTGGCTTCTGGGAACCAGCGGGAGAAGTCAGCGGAGGCTTCAGCACCGTAGCAGCGCTTGCGTGAGCCGTGAGGCCACGCCAGCTTTGCTGTGCAGTCTGCACATCGCCAGAACTTCGGCAGATTTGAGGGCTGTGTCTGGTCAGAGTCTTTTGATGGGGGAGACTTAAAACTCCTCCATGGAGGGAACAGACTGTGTGTGCTGCTCTCCACCCCTCTTGCCCCTGCCTTCTGTTACGAATAGTGCATGAGGAGCCTTGGCGGATTCCATGGCAGGCGAGGGTGACCGAGGAGGGACGGAAAAACATGCCAGGCAGCCAGAGCTTAGTAAGTTTTATTAGAAAGGGGAGGAAAGCCGGGCGTTGGTGGCGCACGCCCTTAATCCCAGCACTCGGGAGGCAGAGGCAGGGGGATCTCTGTGAGTTCAAGGCCAGCCAGGTCTACAGAGCGAGTTCCAGGACAGGCTCCAAAGCAATACAGAGAAATCCTGTCTCGACAATTAAAAAAAAAAAAAGCAAACAAATAAGTAAATACGCTTTGGTTTTGACTGTGTGTCTCTGGCTGCCTCTGCCCAGAGTGCTAGAATGTAAGGTATATACTAGCACTTGTGGCTTAACAGTTTCTTGCAACACTGTGTTGTGTATCTTTTCTCATGTTTCTAGTCTGTCTATACGTTAAATGTTTGCTTAAAATTGTCAATTTGAAATCAGTAAAATTTTGTTTCGTTTATTTTTGAGACAGGGTTTCTCTGTGCAGTCCTGACTGTCCTGGAACTCTCTTTGTAGACCAGGCTCGTCTTGAACTCAGAGATAAACCTAGCTCTGTCCCTCCAAGTGCTGGAATCAGTAAAATTTAGTCTTAACCTTGGATCAAGAGTGGTTGGGAGTATTTAAAATGATGCCTGGAGAAGAGAAATCTTTTAATGAAGTTAGAATAAGCCTACGATTGTTAGAAATCTCAGTGTCCTTTATTTTTTGTAAAAGTGACGTTACTTTTAGAAATAGGAAGTTATTATTAGTTGTGGTTACTTTAACAGGTGTAAACGTCTTATCTTTTTATATGTCCGTGCATGCTTTAAAACTATGCATCTGAAATAATATCTTTGCTTTCAGAGGAAGCTTGGAAGGGAAGAGAGAACAAAAGAGCTACAAAGCTGTCCTAGAAGATCCGATGTTAAAATTTTCCGGGCTGTACCAGGAGACATGCTCTGACCTCTATGTGACCTGTCAAGTTTTTGCTGAAGGGAAGCCTCTAGCCTTACCAGTCAGAACATCCTACAAGGCATTTAGTACAAGATGGAAGTAAGTTTTTTCTTTGTTGTTACTTTTTCATTTACCATGTGAAAGATTATAGACTTCTTCCATAGCCTTAATGATGCTCTAAGTATAGACAGTTTAGCAGGGATTACCAAGGAGTTTCTTCGTTGTATACCTAAGAGTCTATAAATATAGACTGTTGAAAGTGTGTGTTACACATGTAAAGATAGTTGTGTTGATGTGGTGGCTTCATGTTTGTGTTTAGTATGTTGACATTTTGCAGAGTAAGTATTTTATTCTTTTACGACATGAACCAGAACACAACCATGTCTGGACCCTCTCTACTGTTCTATGGCCTTTAACACAAATACTTTAGATCATTTGAAATGGGCAACCTGTTGTTTGGATCTTTAGAAGTAGATCTTATCATACGTTCAGCTAAGATTTATATACTTTATTTTTTCGCAAGTGGAACTTTGGTTTTGTATTCATGTATTTGCATGGTATATTAGCAATATATTGTTGACATGTAGGGCCAGTGTAAGGTAACAGGAAACTGTTTTTCCAAATAGTATTGAGGACCCTTAATCTAATGTACTGATAGCTTTTTTATGGGGCATTTCTGGTGTCCAGACAGTTTTCTTCCATGGTCTTGTGGCATCCCACTGGTGAATAGGTATTTGCTACTTTTTTTTTTAATGTGTGTGTGCATGTACATGTGTTTATACCATGAAAAGAGTTCTGAATTCCCCAAAACAGAGACAGGGCCGTGCTGTATCTCCCATGACATTGAGAGTATACATCATTCCTAATGGGCACACACTTGGGGCTGGAGAGACAACACATCTCTATTGATAGATCAGAATCTGGGAAAGACTTTCAAAGGAGGAAACTTTAACAGTACTGGACTAACTACAGCCAAATGAACTATTTCAGTAGTATAATTTCTCTCATTTTCTTTTTGGTGTCAAATACGTATAAATATTTACATCTATACAACACACACACATATCTAATATATTGTATTGTGGAAAATTTCAACTATACAAAAACATAGAAAATCGTATAGCCAGGCGTGGTGATGCATCTCTTTACTCTCAGCACTCAGAAGACTATAGCCAGTGGATCTCTGAATTTGAGGTAAGCCTGCTTAACATAGTTAGACTTTGACTCAAAAATCCAAAACATGATTGCATCTAAAACAATGGACCAGAGTTCCTCATTTAGATGTGGAAAGTCATTCTCTTTGGTAAATACATTTTTTTTCTTTTGCTATGGAAAAATTTTGTTCTATTCCTCACACTGCCAAACAAAAACAGCTTTGTCTCCCCTTATCTGTTAGGTCTTTTATTCTTTTATATTTATTTATTTATTTTTTTTACTATTACATGTGCACAAGATTGTAAGATTAGGGGAAAAAACATTGATTACTAAAAGATCTAAGACAACTGTAGAAAATATTTGGGGTATATAACAAGAAAATAGGCATTTAAAAACAAAGATTGAAATTGAGAGAAGACAGATTTTGTCCAGTTTTCTATTAGTATTTGAAAGGTAAATTGCCTAGCTCACCAAAATAAAAATGATGAGTAAACATATTACACCTCCATTGTCCTGTATAAGTAGTTGCCTACCAGAAGCAGTCTGTAAATGGGGTTTGGGGAGTTATTTTGTAGAAGAACTCTTACTACTTGAATTGTTGTATTTCCTTGATTTCGCTGATATTTTTAGGGGTACGGTAAGGTTCAACATTATCTAATGTCTGATTGTGACTTGTGTGAGTTCTAGTAATAAGAAATTTACCCAAAATGTGTCCAAGTCTTATCTGAATGCATCCTCCCCTGTGGTGTCTCACCATAAGATCTCAAAGAAGGAGGCTGTAGCCCAGGGAGTAAAGGCACCTCCATCAAACCTGAGAGCCCGAGTTCTATCCCTGGACTCTACAATTTGGAAGGAGAGGACTGTCTTGAAAGTTGTTCTCTGACCTTAGTCACAGTTAATGCAGATCTTCAAGGTCTCGCTTTTAGTTTTCTGTATTTCAAATTAAGAGATTTGGTATTGTTGCTGTTTTTATGATCATTCGTTAGGTGGTTCTTTCTTGTTTTCCTACACAAAACTGTGAATTGAACTCACAATGCTTGTGCATGCTAGGTAGGTACTCTAACACTGAGGTATAACCCCAGCCCCTTAAAATATTTAAAAATGTTTAGATTCTATCCTGTTTTCTAAAACATTTGAAACAGAGACAAAGAAGGAAAGAGTGAGAGAGCAAGCAAGAGGTTGGGAGAGAGTAGCAGGCTAGTATTAATTTAACAATTTCCATCTCAAAGTGTGTTCATCTGTCTAGAGAGTAAGTCTGGTGGGGGTCTTGTAACCAGGACAAGGATTTTCACAGATTGGGCTACTAGTGATGGATGGGGAATAAGATGACAAAATGAGGTTGAGAACACACAGCGTTTTGGTGTTTGAATAGACCTTTCGTAGGTTTTGCAGTGTCTGGGTTAGCTCTTATATGAGTTAGCTGAAAGACCACTCTCTACAACTTGAACTGCAGAAACAGCCCGTGAAACACATGGAATTGCAGTTACTTTGGTCTTGGGGCCAGGAGTTAGACAGAGGAAGATTTAAGGGGAAGGACCACTAATCAAGGTACTGTCTCCCAGAATTTAAAGAGTGGACAAAGATGAGAAATTCCACAGATAATGTGGGTATCGACACTAGTTTTTTCCTTTAGCTTTGCCTCTTGTTAGTTGTCTCCATGTGAATCAACTGCGGTGATTTCTTCATCCACAATTGATGACACTGTTTAGTATTTTAAGTCTGTCCTGACATGTGAATAGTAATAAACTCAGTTGCTTATACTCATCTGTAGAGATAATGGCTTTCTTAAATGTGCAATTTGGATTTTTTAAGAACTTTATATAGAAAAGATTTGATGATATTTTGCTTCTAATCAAAATTGATGGACAGCTCTAATTTTTCTGGAACTTCAAAATATAACAGTGGCCATAAATACTTTTGTTGAGTCTTTGAAAACTTTGCTGTTCCCTGATGATACATGCGTTTGATCTAAGATAAGCTGCCTTGAGGGTAATTGTGAGTGAATAGAGAGAGCTCTGTCTGCTTACTGAGTACTCATGTTATTTGTGTGGAATCTTTTGGGATTTTAGAAGCCATCTGCTTAAGGGAGCGGAGATTATCAAATGAGTCCATTTTAAATGCAGAAGAATATTTACAAAGTTGAGTATATATTCCTGCATTACTCTGTATTACTCACAAACGTGCACTAATGAGTTTAACATTTAATATCAGCAGGCATTCTTAGGAAGCATAGAAGGCTAATAGCTTAGTGTCGTCGGTGCCAGTGAAAGAAGTCCAAGGTGCAGTAATCGAAATATAGTGTGAAAATCTTTAATAAGAAAGACCTTAATGGGAAGGAACATTTGTTGGTAACGTCCATGTGTCATAAAAGCAAGTTAGCGTTGGCTTCGTGAGGTTTGGTTATTTTGGGTTGTCTTATTATCCTCAGGAATGCCATAACATACCATGAATGATCATCTTATAATTGCAATATGACTTGGTTATTTTCATAATGTAAAGTTATGTTCTGGAGAATTTTTAAAGAAAACGAGAGTTTGGCTTAAGAATTTTGACATGTTGAAACATGTTTCCGATTTGTTTGTTTATCTTGATTTTTCTGCTGTTCTGTTTCCATACATCTTAGTGATACAACTTTTTCTTTCTTTCTGTTTTATTTATTTAATTATTGGGGGGTGGGAGATGGGTATCATGTTGTAGCTTGAGCTGGAGTCAAACAAACCCACAAATCTCCTCTAGACTGGCCTTGAACTAACAGTAAATAATCCTTCTGCCTCGTGCTATATTCTGGGATTATAGGCATATGTCACAACTGTTCAACTTGAGTGTCCTGATTAATGTTATGATATGTTAGTGCTTATTTTTTAGGAGCTATATTCAAAATTCATGAATTTATATTTGAACAAGTAAAACTGAGGGCATTTACACGTTATTTTTTAGCATACAAATCTAATCTTTTTGGAGCCTTGTCATCTGGCTGAGTCATCTTTATGGGTTAACTTGAAAGAATGATGCGTATTTACTCTGACTTTGTTTCCATAGTTGGAATGAATGGCTAAAACTCCCCGTGAAATACCCTGACCTGCCCAGGAATGCCCAAGTGGCCTTGACTATATGGGATGTGTATGGACCAGGAAAAGCCGTGCCGGTGGGAGGAACAACTGTATCACTCTTTGGAAAATATGGGTAAGCATTCTGCCTGCTAGTCCACATAGAGCTGTTTCTTTTTCTTTCCTGAAGAACTTTGATTGTATTTGCAGTCCGGTTTCTCTGTGAAAACCAGTTAGGTACACAGGCCTTCCACAAAATTCTGAGATCGGATCTGAAATGGATTTCCTACCAGATATGCTGTATTAGTTACTCTTCTCACTGCTAAATCAGTGACAGTATTTCTGACAAAAGCAACATAGAGAATCACAAGTTTGAGGGTATGATCCATCATGGGTGGGGATGATCAGTTTACCTTCCCTCTGTTCATGTAGTCTGAGATACCAGCTTGTAGAACACTGCTCTACCTTGGGGTGGGTCGCCCGAGTTGACCCAGTCTAAATACCACCTCATAGACATGTTGCCACATTTGTCTCTTAGGAGGTTCTACATCCTACACATTTGATAATTAAGTAACCATCCCCAAAGCTAAATCAGTCAAGAAACACAATTTGTTTTCTCTACTGCTAAGTGAATGCTAGTGTCATCTCTATTAGAATGGAGTTATTGGGAATGATAACTTAGGGTCCAGATCTGGAAACTGAAAGATGGAGTCCCCTTCAGTGGAAAGTCCTAGTGACTAACTATTGCAGGCTGTTACCAGGTGCCTTCACTTTTGCACATTTTAATAGTTAAAGATGTTAATCTACATATAAGTAAATATAAATGAGAATTATCTTAATAGGTTTCTTGACTATTTTCTGTAAATTGATTTAGTGATGAGTTTTGTCCATTTTTAAATAAATTACATTCACACAAGAAGTGCCTTTTTTGATGTTGTTAAGATAGGATTTGACTGGATAGCCCAGCTTGTCTAGAACTCTCTATAGATTAACTAGGCTTGAAGTCACAAAGATCTGCCTGCCTCTGCCTCCTGAATTCTGGGATTTAAAGGCATGTACCACCATGCACCGCTAATAGTGCCTTCTTTCTAGTTGTTATTTCTTAGTGATGTGTGAGGGAGGAGTCTTGGTCCATGAAGGAAATTGGTTGACCATTTGTGTACTATGGTAAAAAATTACTTAAAAAATATTTCTTCTGGTTTGTTCTCTGAGATACATATATATTTACGAGATTGGATTTATGGGAGCCTTTCTTCCATTACTCTCTTAGCTCTTCATATTAGGATCTGTAATTGATCTAAACTTTTATAAATAGGGCAGTGCATCATGAATCTCCTTTAACAACAACCAAAGCTCAGATCTGTATACATTTGTCTCAGTTCCTTACGTCACCACCATCTCTGGCGAGTTTAAAAAGCCTGCCATTATATCTGAGCCTGAGAAGAGCAGCATAGTAGCAGAGAGGAGTGTGTGAGGCAGGGAGGCTGCTGTCTCTCCAGTATCCGGTCTCCTGGGGCAGGTTAGTGAACCGTATGCCTCAGTTTCTTCACTTCATGCTTGATAGTGATGATGTAAGAACATTTGATGAGCCCAGCGAATGTTTTATTCACAGATAATACTGTGTTGTTTAGTTGATTGATGGTTGATGTGGAATGTCGTTGTAGGTAGCACCAGTCCAGGGCAGCTGAGCCTGAGTTGTCTAAGAGAGCAGGCGGAGAAAGCCAGGAGGAGCAAGCCAGTAAGCAGCCTTCCTTCATGGCTTCTGCTGGGTGAGAGGCTTAACTTGGTGTGGGGTGGGCCTGGAAGTTATGATCAGGCTAGGAGGGTTTGTACAGGCTAGTAGGGTCCTACAGCTGACTAGAGAATGCAGGGACACTGGGAATTTGACCCCGGCTAGGTCTGCAGCTTAGGGAGGATCAGGCTGATCAATTCACAGGCCTGGACCCAGGCAAAATATGTCTGTAATTCTTTGTATAGCTCGTTGAGTGAAATTTCTTTTGCCTCTCATCCAAGGGAAATGGAAAATGTGCCTGAAAGACAAATTAAGTAACAATTCTCCATAAAGTTGGTAGTAGTAATTAGGAGTTAAATTTGTTGGCTTGCCTTGAGCTAAGATTTAAATGTTAGGAAATTGCTCATTCTGTGTAGTCATATCCTGTGTCACCACAGTTTTGTGATTTGGGGCAGTACTGCTTTGGCCATAGTTTCTCAGATGTTTCTTTAGCAAGAAAATGTCGTCACTGGCCTCTTCTTCCAAAGGACCTGGTATGCACCTAGTACTACTGTAAAAGTGGTCCTTAAAGCTTCTAATACTGGAAGGTGGCACAGTGACTGCCAATTTGCGCTCTTTGCCGACATCTGTTTGGTATTTGTGAGTCAGTGAGGGGGACTTCTTAGAGAGTGCTGATAAATAATTTAAAACTGGTCTTTTATACCAGTTCTGCAGAAGCAAGCTGTCTGTAACTTAAACACCCAGCTTCAGAGATTTCTAATAGCTTAAGAGCAGATTGGTTATTACTTGGATTGGTAGAACCATGGGCAGACTGCGGATGATGTGCAGTTGTGTGTGAATTCTGAGGTCATGGCGGTGGCTGCTACGGTGACAAGGCCCTGCCAGCTAGAGTCACATCGGCAGCTGGCACTGGGCCTTTGATGGAGTTGAAGGAGGGCCTGCTGTGCTATTGCCCGGTCTAGTCTGTTTGACTGAATCTCCCAAGTGTACGCAATGCTCTGCACATCTTTTGCCTCGCCACCTGGGGCTGTGTCATTTTAGGCAAGTTTCCATTAGTGTTCAAAGAAAGTGGTGGGATTACTTTGTCACCACAAGTACTCAGCATGCCCCTTCCCGAAACCTGTTTTAAACTCTTCTAGATCCATCCCAAGGTGGCTAAACCATTTAGTAGACCAGCTTCCTGCCAAATGTGTTCCTGGTTAAATCCCGCTGGTGTGTTGACTGAAGAGTGGAGAGGGAGAGAGGAGGAAGGGATGGCGTGCTGTTTCTGAAGGTGTGTGTGAGGGTACGCACCGTGAGCAGTGCTCTTAGTGACTTCACCGCTGGCAGACAGCTCCTCAGAGCTTGCTCTAAGGTTGTTCTCCGTTTTGTTTCGTCTGAGACAAGGCCTCTTTAGATTGCCTGTGTTAGTCTAGAGTCTGTGATCCTCCTGCCTCTGCGATCTGATCTGTTTGATATTAAAAGAGAAAGAAATTTAACCTTGTAAGAGCTTGTATTTGTGTTTTTGCAATAGCTTAAGAAAATCTTTAGTGTGACATTTTTATTAATGAGAAACCTGATTTTTACTAGAGAGTCAACATTATCCAGTCATGATCACAGCCACACATGCCATAGATGGTACAGTTGGCATCCAAACCCAGGCAGACTTACCGAAAAATTATGTGACTCAGCAGTTCTCATTTCCACTCTGTAAATGTGATACTGTTCTACTGGATAGAAATTTAGTTCCTGCTATTCTAAGACGACTGCGGAGGTGTTGTTGGGTGCTGTCCTCCAAGCATGGCTGACACCATTTTCCTCAGAACAATTGTGAATACTTGCAGGGAGGGATCCCCTTTGATTGGCCATGTTGACTTGCCACTCTTTGTAGAAGGAGGGCATGGGGAGATTCACTGGACCTCACCTGGGATTCACACTGTTCCCTCGTACGTCTCCCAGCCATTTGTATGCACACTTCTGCCTTGATTGTATGTGGCCTCACGGTATAAGAAAGCGATAGCTTACGTAGACTGTGGAAGGCTAACTGAAGCAGGGCTACATTGGTGAGACCATGGGGACGTCTGTTCTCGGGTGAGACTGGCCCATGTCTAGCTGCCTTTGGTCACTTAAGTTCTTGTAAGTAACTGCTCACTTAGGCGCTTAGTTTTACCTTGGTTTGCCACTGGAGCTGTGTAAGAAGGAGGTACACATTTGCTTAAGTCTGCCGAGGAGTTCCCTCAACACTGATAGCATATACATTGGTTTTAGAGGTCTCTCATTTTCTGATTATCCAAGGGAGAAAGGCTGCCCTGAGGAGAGATTTGTGGATCTTTAGCAGCGTAGCTCAGGGCTGCACAAACCGTGGAGGACTCGGAACCTGGCAGACTTGACAGACATTTGTTTATAATGAACCTCCTCAGTTTACTTTTCTGAATTTTTCCCTTATAGCATGTTTCGCCAAGGAATGCATGACTTGAAAGTCTGGCCTAACGTGGAGGCAGATGGCTCAGAACCCACAAGAACTCCTGGCAGGACAAGCAGCACACTCTCAGAAGACCAGATGAGCCGCCTCGCCAAGGTACGCAGGCTTCTGGGACAAGGAGAATGACTGGTGCTAGTCCATGCCCCTTGACGTTGCAAGTCCTGTCAGTTGTTGTCTCTCTTTAAACCTTACATAGTCATCCTAACTGTATGGCTTTAGGACACCTGAAAGCTCCGTGTACTCAGTAGTTACTCTCCATTCCGTCCTCCCTCACTTGGTGATGGCTGCTGGTCCGCTTTCTGGCTGTGGACTAATGCTTGCTTGGAATCGCACACCCTGTGGCCTTTTTTCGAGACTTGCTTCAGATTTGGACGTGTGGGTCTCTGGTATTTTCACTGTTGTGTCTGTTTTCCGATTTGCCCTTTTAAGGGAAAAGGGTGGCATAGCTCCCTCCTAAGTGTGCTTACTGGTATCATCTTTCAGCTTCCTTCCTCTCTCTCCAAATGAAGAAAACTGAAGATGTAGGTATTTCAGCTGCTCACTTCCAGATCTTGCGACAGATCACAGATTTCTCTTATGTCTGCCCTCTCCTTAAGAGTTTATCAGCTGTGGACTTCGATCTGGCTATTTTCCATGACTTACACATAGACATTTTATTAGAATCATTTCACATATACTCTGTGCTACTAAAATTTGTAAGTTTTGGTTTTTAAGTGTTGTAAGAATATAGTTTTAGTCTGGCTACCTAAGGATAATGGGACTGTGAAATGAAGACCAAATTTTAATATCCTATGAAAAGATGGTATTAGGTAATTAATAAAGGAAGAGTGTCAGTTCCAAGCTGGACTTAATGCTTTTACTCTGATTTGTTGTTCAACTGTGGAAGTTAAATTCTAACTACAATATGAATAACTAACATTTGGAAGCCCACTTTTAAGTTTGACTTTTTACAAACAGTCCTGTCATAGTGATTTTAATGTATTCAATCTCTCTGATGATTTAGACTGTTTTATAAACCTACCTACCTTTCCTTTGTGGAAAAATGGGTATGATAAAAAGAAATACTGTTGTATAGTGTTCAGCTTAGGTCTTATTTTTTTAACTTATATTTCCTAGAGTCTTAATAGGGAACAGAAAGAAATGTGTGTATTAAAATATGCCACCCCCTACATCTTGCTTATTTTCCTTTTTACCATCTCTAAACTTTTATAATTAATGCTTACGTCTCTTTGAAAGACCACACTTCAGGGCTGTCTGTTAACTTTCGCAGTGGGGACCAGCCTCTTGGTAATGGTGATCCAGTGTGTACACTGTCCCCTTCAACTCTCCTTTCAGCTTGTCACTCTGTAGGAATTTTATGCTAGGGTGCATATCCTCCTGGGGCTTTGGATGTGGCCACTGGGCTCGGGTGTTTGGTTTCTACGGACTCCTGTCTTCAGCTTGAAATAGCGCAGAAGCATGCTTTCCCACTGTCTCCCTCTCATTTTAGCAGCTCTGCGTGATGTCTTCGCAGTGTGCTTCCCGTCTGTCAGTTAGATTAAGAGGAGGCGAAGGGAAAGTACCAAGGAGATGAACAGTGTTTTGTGGTCTGTGTGGAGATGTTGGGGGTGGGAGGGACTGAGCACTGCAGTAATGGGGTGATAGAAGCCATGGTACCTCACAGAGCTACTCTGGTCACTGGGGGGGGGGGGGTCTGGACCTCAGGCTGTCTGAGAAGGAGCCAGAGGACAAACACAACCCTGCATCATCCTGCTGTGTGCTGTAGCACTGCATCGCATGTGCCGCCACATCATTAGCGGGGCAGCTTGTAAAAACTGAGAGGAAGGCATCCTTCCCGCCTTCAGTCAAGCCATTCACCTATAATCCTAAATCCTTAAGAGAAAATGCAGTATAGAAATGATGGCTGACAGTACAGTATGATGTGTCTAACCAAGTGAAGACCTAATGAAGTACAGGTTTTGTTTTTCAAAGAATACACACATTTTAAAAGAGCATAGACACAGAGAAGACTCAATTGGAAGTACTTTTAGGGAGTTAGTTCTAACTGAGAAACAGTTGAGGCTTGACAGCTTACAGTAAGGAATACAATACAACACTCCCGCTCACATACTTTGGCTGTAGTTTTGGACTTTAATCACAATGAACAAGCAAACCTTCTGTTTTTAAATGCTTGTCTTACAGAGCAAGAGAATTAGTGACTAATTAGAGTTCATAGAGAAATTCATTCCTGTACAAATAGGAAAAATACATGCCTAACATTTGGTTTGGGCGAGAGACTCTCCTATTTCATTTATCCCTTTAGATGTTTTTTATGTGACAATGATTTTAAACGTTAGACTTATGACAATTACTGTTATGTGTGAATGAGAATGGCCCCTGTAGTCTCATGTGCTTGAATACTTGGTTCCCAGTTGGTAGAAGTGTTTGAGAAGGAGTAGGAAGTCTGGCCTTGCTGGAGGAGAGGTGTCACTGGGGGGCAGGGTTAGGGATTTCAGAAACCCACACCATTCCCAGTTAGCTCTCTCTGACTCCTACTTGCAGAGCAGATTGTAAGCTCTCAGCTGTTCTGCAGCCCTGTCCTTTTTCCACCGTAGTGGACTCTAATCCTCTGAAACTGTAAGCCCAGTTAAGTGCTCTCTTGTATAAGTTGCCTTGTTCATCTTGTAGTAGGGCAGCATAGAAAAGTAACTAAGGCAATTGACATTACCTTAATGTATATCATTTTATACAAAACTCATAAAGAATAATTTTTGCTCTAAATAACGTACCTTTATGAATAGCTTGAGTCAATTACATATCCCCACTACTTCATGTTACAGCTAGGGTTTGGGAATCCCTTGTCAATTGTTTGCTCATTCTCCTGAGTGGCATCTTTTCAATAATTCACTTGGGTTACTCACAGTTCTCCAATACTGTCAAAGCCTTCAGACTTGCCTTAAAACTCGTGGCACTGAGTAGACTGAGTGTGTTGATGCCAGTGTGATACTGAGCCTTAAAACATTATTGATTGATTTTCAGACAAATCTGTTCTGTTTTTACAGCTCTAGTTTCTGCCTGAGGAGAAGAAAGTAGCATGCTTTTAAAATGAGATTAGTTTCCGAGAAATTTAACTAAATGAAACTTTTATATGGCAAATACTAGTCTTCTTGAATAATGAGTAATGCTTAAAAGTAAAATTAAAGAACTGTGGACAAGACTTCATTAATCAAGAAGATAGAAAAATGTAGATAAAACTCCTTTGCTTGCTAAGAATTAAATATATAGGCACAGGCAGACTTTGACATACTCTTATAGTTAAGTCTTAGTTGTTCAGATTAATTTTGTGTGTGGTTATATTATGTCTTAGTTACAAATTATTTCATAGCTTATGTTGTATTTGATACATGTGGAACTCATTATTTTTGTTTATTTCAGAGATACATCTTTAAATCATAGAAATCTATGAGACAGCCACCGTCTGTCTGTTTGCGCCTGACTCACATCATCTATTAGGATCAGGAATAAAAATTTTTTTGTCAGTATTTATGTCAGTTTGTTCCAGGCTTAAGAAAGGTATTAGACCAAGAACAGTGGCTCTTTACTTTAATACCAGCACTTGTGAGACAGAGGCAGGCAGGCAGATCTGAGTTCAAGGCCAGCCTCGTCTATATAATGAGTTCTGAATTAGCCAGAGCTAATTCATTCAGATGGACAAAACGAAAAGGAAGAAAAGTACTGGAGATGACAGAGTAAAGTAATGCCCTTTTAACTTGGGGGTGTGGAGTAAAGCAACAGCCACTTGCAGAACTACACTGGCATGGCCATGCAGTGTCTGTGGTGAAAAGCGCAGGGCCTGGACAGCCTGGCTTATTCACATAGGTTCTGTGAATTTGAAGGTTTCACCCTCTGCTGAAGAGCAGATTAGTTCTACTCATTCTTAAGTATCAGAGAATGATGGGGGATTAGGCAAGCCAGTGAAAACCTTGGCACTTTGGACTGGAAAGGGAAGAAAGCAGGGTTCGTTTGCTGTACTGGCACAGGGTGTTGGAAGCAGCGCATAACTGGCAGTGGGTGTGGTGTTCCATTGTGGAGTAGATTTTACATTCTGCCAAACCTCTTTACAGTTTCCAGGCATGCCATTGTCACTGTGAAAATGAGGGCAGCCCTGCTTGGGACACTTTCCTTTCTGGTGGTTGCTGTGAGCCATTGTCAAGCGCTTTCTGTTACGTGTATGAGGGCAACTGTCTGATCTGGCTGAGGCAATTTTTTTTTTAATTTGGTTTCCAGCTTTTTGTCGAATGCTTTTTATTACTTTATTTATACTAATTGTTATATTATTCCCTTCTTCTACTTCTAAATCAGCAAACATCCTAGGCAGAGTTAAAAAATGTGCAAACATTTTTCCATCCCATTCATCATCCTTCTCCATTGTTCCTCTCACTTGATATAAGTCAGTGGTAAGTACTAGGCTCTGTCAGATTTATGGCTTTAGCATGTTCGGTGTTTACATTGGGCCTAGCAAAAGAGGGAGCTCATCTGTTTCCAAGGACTGATGTTTGACAGGCCCTGTCCCCGCTGCTCCTGGTCTGGATGTTGGCAAGCTGGGCTACTTTAGCCTCTTGTCTGTACTTTTATCCAACACCCACTGGTCTGTGATATAACACTTCATCATGACATCTTTTGTGATATCTGATGATATCACAGTGTTGCTATTGGTTCTTTTATGTGAATAGTCTTTGCAGCTCCTTTCTGTTTAGTTCCTCGTGAGATAGAGAATAATGGTTCTTCCATATTTAGGGGACACCGATCTTCTTCCAACCCTGTGGGGCTTCTTGTGAATTCTTTAGAATCCTCATGCCTGACAAAGTGAGTCACACTTACTGGCTCTTCCTAGAATGGATATACAGCAAGGATGATTTCTTCACAAGTATTTTTAATATATTGGATTTCTCACCCTGCTGCTTAACAGGGTACAGATCTTACTTTGGAAAGACATAGGTCCACGGCTACACACAGAGAATACTGTCTCAGGATACTTAAAAAGAAAAAGGAAAAAAAAAAAAGACTCAGAATGAATTAGAAATTTAATCCAGTAACACATACAAGTTTCCTACACTCACCTGTGTTGATAGAAGTCCCCTTTGATCCTCAGCATTGGTGGAAATGGTGGTAACTAGAAGCTGCTGTAGACTGGAGGACTATTCTTGTTTAGATACGTTGTTATCAGCACCAACAAGAGATAAAGTAACACAGGAGCTGCTTTCAATGATTATAGCTATATAAAGTCAATGCATGTTAATACAAATTAGCTTTTAATTACTAATAATTATTATTTCATGTGCCTTGAGCCCTACCTAAAAATCAAAGTCATTATGTTTTGAAGATCTAAAAGGGACTTTGGTAGCTGAAGTGTATTGAATTTGGATGGATTACTTAGAAGAGCTTTCCACCAAGTCCGCCATTCCTACCATGGTGTGCAACCTACAGAGAAGCCATTCTGGATGATCTAACTCCAGCTCCATGTCTCTCAAGAGGTAGCTTCTTCAGAAATCATGGGAAATAGTGAAGGGAATGCTGTAAGCCTCTAACTGGGCATGCTTGATACTGGTAGGTAAATAGGGTGAATGACTGGGAGACGTTTTCAGTGGTAATTATTCAGTTCAGCAGAACTTCTGTAACTAAATTAGGTTGAGAAATACCTAGAATTTCTTTCAATATCAAGGTGTAATGAAGGAGCTATTGAACAGTCATAACATACGTAAATGACTCTTGACTTTCCATTCACAACTGAATTCATCATTATTTTTCCTCTGTTGAGGCATACATGCAGGCATTACTCACTGTTTCTGATTACTGCATTTTAGAGTGTATGTGTTCCCATCACTTACTGAACAGCTCTTGTAACTGAGGTCTGAAAGAATTTATACTTGGCCTTTGTGGTGGCTTTACCAAATTTATTATTCCTTCTGTGACAGCTGTTCAGAAGATTGAGAAAGGTCATATTTGGTATGCAACTAAGAAAAAAAGAAGGCCTGGCATGTGTAGGGAGTGACATGTATTGTCGGAGACATAGATTCAGCTGGTACGAACAGCTACAGAAAGTCCCCGATGTATCTGGGCATGCGTACTGGAGAAGAAGGAAGCCTCATTTCATTTTCCCCATCAGGACACAACTCACCTCACAGCAAATCATTGTGGGGACCAAATGTTGGGTCAAAACACAAACTAATGTTTAGTAAATAACAGAAACCAGGGGAACTGCGATTGCATAATAACCATGTACCATCGGAGAATGGCTAGCAAAGATAGGAGGCAGAAAGTGTCTGCGAGTCTCATCACATCATTCCAAACTGGCTCTTACAGTGAAAATACAAAAGCTATATAAACATTGCTTTTGCTTGTATGAGCTAAGTAATAGTAGAAATCAGAAAGAACTTATATGCTTGTAGTGGAAAGAAAAAAATGACACGTATCAACCTGTAGTAACTATGGGATGGTACCATTTGTCATGTTTTGCACACTTGCATGTTAGGACACACATAGAAAATAATATTTTTATTGGTGTGGGCTCATAAGTGACAGTTTGAAAAGAGTTTGTCAGTGCTGGGACCAGATCTCCAACTTGCAGTGTGGCACTCTCCTGTAAGCTGCACTGCTTGGTCTTTGGTTCTTGTGAGTGTTTATCAGTCTCATTGATGTAGCTCACGCATCCCGTGATCTTCTACAAGAGCTAACAGCCTATGTAGCCCTTGCTGTGTGTGAGTGATTATACTAGTCCCTCACTGCTGTCCTCCTTTTGGTGTTTGAGTTAGCATGAAAATCATGTGCTTCAAGGTAGCGTTTCTGTTCACTGTGTCACTCTCTCTTTCTCTGCCTTCTCTCATTCCCACCGCTGATTTACTGCGTCCCTTCCTTCTCCCAAACAGTCCCCTCTGCTTTCCTGTCCATGTCACTTGTTCATTATCCTACCCTTTGTCCTCTCTCCCGTTTTAAAGATCTCTTCCTAGCTTCAGTCCACTTTTTACTTTCATGTTTTACACACACACACACTCACATCTAGATTCAGGCTATGAGAAAACATGCAGTATTTATTTGAATCTATCACATTTCATCTAAGATAACGATCTTTGTCCGGTTCCATTGTTTTCTCTCAGTGTGATTTCATTGTTTATGACTGAAATTCCTGTGTGTATGTATATGTGCATATCACATATTCTTTGTCCATTCATCTGTGATGGATTTCTAGATTGGTTCCATTTCTTTATAAATATAAGTAGTAGTTACTAAGATCCCTTTTATCTAGTCTCATTTAGAGGTTACCCTGAGGACAAAGGTGCTGTTTGCTATTCAAAGAAAGTTATTTCCTAAGTAGTGTTTTTGTATTACAATGGACCTCAAAATTTTTAAAAGGGATTTTATTGTATATGTGTGAGTGTTTTGCCTGCATATGCGTAAGTGTACTGCTTGTGGGTCCCCTGCTCACAGAGGGTAATGGATCCCATGGGACTGTAGTTGCAGGCGACAGTTAGTATGTCAGTGCTGGGAGCTAAACCTTGTGGGTCCCCTGCTCACAGAGGGTAATGGATCCATGGAACTGTAGTTACAGGCGACAGTTAGTATGTCAGTGCTGGGAGCTGAACCTTGTGGGTCCCCTGCTCACAGAGGGTAATGGATCCATGGAACTGTAGTTACAGGTGACAGTTAGTATGTCAGTGCTGGGAGCTGAACCTTGTGGGTCCCCTGCTCACAGAGGGTAATGGATCCATGGAACTGTAGTTACAGGCGACAGTTAGTATGTCAGTGCTGGGAGCTGAACCTTGTGGGTCCCCTGCTCACAGAGGGTAATGGATCCATGGAACTGTAGTTACAGGCGACAGTATGTCAGTGCTGGGAGCTGAACCTTGGTCTTGTGCAATAGCTGCGAGTGTTCTTAACCACTGAGCCATCTCTCTAGCTCCTAACCCTCAAACATTTTACATAAGATTGTGCCTTTTTTATTTCTGAGTTACTGTGAACTCATAGTTGGGATGGTGTCAAGGGTGATAAAGAATACTAGTGATTGTGGCTTTCAGTTCTGAGTGAGGTCATAGCTAGTGGTACTGTTTGATGTCTTTATGGGGATGCTGCCATGTCACGAACAGTGAAGAGGAACTCGATGAGCTAAGAGGAGTGGTGATATAAGGTTTTGATGCCTAGTATTGCTTCATTCTGTGAATTTGTTGAGAAAGTTTTGATATATAAGTAAGGCTGATGTTTAAAATTTACAGGGTCAATATCAAAGGTAGTTCTAATCTGAGAACCTTGTAGCTTATCTTGACTTCTCTAGGAATCTGAAAAGCCACTGTGATATAATTTATGAAACTAGGGCAAGACAGTGTGTAATCTCAGTGCATGCAAACGTCAATGATGTTAGGTTTTTAAGTCCGTTGTTGTCTCCTAAAATAAAGGCACACATGAATGTGTATGGACTTAGGTCTTAGAGTAATGATTCGTGGGTCCACAGTAATTACCTTTCTGTGTATAACTTAGTTTTTAGAATATTTATTACATTGCAGATAAGAAGAATAGAGAAAAGGTGGGTTAGACGATCTATTATAATTTCATGTGTGATAATCAAAATATAAGAGCTATAGAACTTTTAGATAACATTCAGGAACGACTGTGTTCTTCTCTTGCTTAATAACAATGGCAAGATTGCAGGCTTGGGTTTAAAGACTTCTTTTTAGTGTTTTTTTTTTTTTTTCATTTTTAGTAAAAGGTTTGTCTCCTGCCTAGTTTCTTATTCTGATATTGTACGTGGTTTTGATCCTTGAAAGTGCTTTGTATGTGGGAATCTGAGGTGTAGGAATGGTTCACATGTGGAATCTGATGCTGTAATGTGTGGGTTTATCTCTGACGTGTAGGAGGGCTCCGTGCATATAATGTGATGTGTAGGAAGACTGTATGTGGGATTGGCTGTGCAGACGGGCATATTGGGTGAAACTGATAGTACAGACTGAGGATTCTTTGTTTTAGTTCTTCAAAGACCACACGTGTTTTGAGTTTTGGATAATTTCAGAATTTGAAGTATTTGTACATACTTGATGAGATTATCGTAAGTGTAGACCCCAAATATAAGCATAAAATTCACTTATTATAGTTTATATTACAGTGTCTTAAGTAGTGTAAGCGTTACTTTTAATGTAGTGTGTACAGTTACCAATCCTATGAGACTGATTTGGAGTTTCCAGTGCGACCTCCTAAAACGCTTTAGGTTTCTAGTGTTATAGATTCTTGATTTTTCAGGTCAGTTGAGTGATCAGTTGCTGTCCTTCATCTTCCTGTTTGTCTGCTCTGTGCTAAGATTAACCCTGTTGTCCTTTTTGCAGCTTACCAAGGCTCATCGGCAAGGACACATGGTCAAAGTGGATTGGCTGGACAGATTAACGTTTAGAGAGATAGAAATGATAAACGAGGTGAGTAGTTTTCTTCCTTTCTTCTGTCATAATACATTCTGCAGATTCCTAAGTTAACATTTAAAAAAAAGAAACAAATCTGTTGCCAGCTATCTGGCAAAAAAGTAAGTCCTTCCTTCGTAGCTCCGAGTTTTACAGTAGTAAGCAGCAAACCTGACCTCTTAAAGCTGATGTGACCTGGACCTTTAGCAGCGGCTGCCTGTGGTATGTGAAGGCTCCCGTGTGTTTCAGTCCTGTTGTTCGTGTGCCTGTCACTGTTTGTTGAGTACCGCAGCAGTGCTGTCCCCTCTCTGAAGTCACCGCGCAGCACTTCAGAAGTGCCCTCTCCTGCATTAGCTACTTAACTGGATGTTGGCTCCTCAGTAAGTCTCCATTGCGCACAGCTCACTTTTCCTTGACCTGTGTATCGGGCCATGTAAACATCTAATTAAAAGATGGCTTCAGAGAGTCTTTTCAAAATTATATTTGAGTAGTTTGTATATTTGGTTTAGGAATACCATATGTTTGGTATAAGAACTTGTGTCTAGAGGATTGAGCCAACTTTATGACTCCGATTCCTAGAGGACAATGCCAGTGATCATGATAATGACAGCTGTGATGTACACATTACAGGACTTAATTCTTGGGACACCTCCAAGGATTCTCAGCAGTAGAGAAGGGGGCGGGGGAAGGTGGTGGAGATTGAATGTGAGGGACTGCTCTTCCTGTTTTAGATGAGCCTGGGAGTGCTTGACACTTACATTGATTGTCAAATTGAGATCCTTTGTAAATGTATTTATGTTTTCAACAAAACTACTGGAGAGTTAACTTTTGCACTTTTTGTAATAGTTCAATTAAAAAAATAGTTCTTTAACCCTGTATGTTTTCTTCCATGTCTGTGCTTTGTGTGTAGAAATGTAGCATTGGGTTTACTTTTCTCCTTTATCCTGCTGCTCTTCACCAGACAGTAGACTAATGCTTTACTGAGGTAACAATGTAAATGACATTGGCGCATACCTGCTTTTATGTCTGTGCATCGTGTGCACGCAGAGCTGGCAGTGGCCAGCAGAGGGAGTCAGATCCCCTTGCAGCTGGAGTTACAAATGGTTGTCACCCAATTTACATGTGCTGGGAATTGAATCCTGGTCCTGTAGCACAGAGGGTGGTTCTCTTAACCACTGAACCATCTCTCCTCTAAGTAACCTGTTTATACATTGTCATTCTATGAATTGGATCTAATGAAATCTGTAAAAAATGTTTTGGGACGATTAGTTAAGTCGTTTTGCTTTATTTATGTTTTTGAGAATGTATATATGTAAATATGCAGATATATAGAGGTAGAGAGAATGAATCTATTTTTTGTTTGTGTTGAGAGAAGTATCTTTGAGTGCACATACAGTGTTGATAAAAGTTGTTAGTGACAAGTTACCTTAGGAATATTCAGAAATTGTGAACATTTTATTAAAATTATTTAAGCCCTTATCTTTGGTTATAAACTTAAAAAAGAAAATAAAGCAAGGTTACTTTTCTGTACACTTAATAATTCCCTGAATAGGTGATTATATAGTATAAAGTTTGAAGTTTCTAAAAATTGTCACAAGTTCAAATTGTATTTATATTTGAATTAAAATAAAATAGTTCTCAATATACCTTCGAGCTTTAAAATCGTAGATTCCAAAATGCTGATTAAACCCTGAGTTTTATTGAATTTGGAGATGGTCTGCCGAGTAAAGTACTCTTCTAGGTAGAGCAGTGGTTCCGTAGGCGCTATTACATATGGATAACAGCGAGAGCTACATTTTAGGTAGTAGTTGATTGGCTCTTACATCGCTGCGTTGTGGTGACGTGTCATTTTTAAGAAGGGTTGAAAGCGATCACCTGTGTGTGTTTCTTCTTTCTAGAGCGAGAAACGAAGCTCCAACTTCATGTACTTGATGGTTGAGTTCCGCTGTGTCAAGTGCGATGATAAGGAGTATGGTATTGTGTACTATGAAAAGGTATTTTCCTTGGGACTCTTTAAGCTTTCTGGCATCAAGCACTGGGGTGCAGACGACTGCTCTCTCACTGAGACTCAGGGTTTGGTGGCAGGAGAGCAGTTCAGCTTCCTGCAGCAGCTGCTTCTGCACAGACAATCCTGTCACATAGCTGCGGCCCACTTGGCTCATGCAATTCTGGGTCACAAAATTTATTAAGCACATGAATGATTAAAACTTTGTGATTAATTGTTCTGCAGGCTAGTGATCATGACACTAAAGTAATAGCTTTATTTGCAGCTATCCATTTGCACAATAAAGTAGGAAAAGATAATGTTTCATTGGCAAGATATTGAAAATTCAGATGTCAGTTATTTAACACTGTATGTAATGTTTTGGAACTATATATGTGCCTCTGTTTATGAAAATCTTCATTGACATGTGTTTATATAGTTTACCCATAGTTTGGAGACAGTGTTTCTACTAGACTGAAATAGTGATTGTGTATTGTTTGTGCTTACTCATCATGGGAAGAAATAGCCCAGTGTTTAGAATGTAGCTGTCTCAAATTATTTGCTCTAAATTCATGTTGAAGGGGTTTCCTTTAAATGCTACAGAAATATTTAGATACGTAAATGAATACCTGTAGACTTATATGTATACTTAGGTAGTGTGCATACTCAAGTATATTTACATACCTAAATGTGTACTTACATACCTTTATGTATGCTTATATCCTTTATGTATAGTCATTGCTGTGGAAATAGTGTTTAAATCTGTTAAATAAGAACAGAATTCTTGTATGTGACATGAGAGATAAACACATGTAGCACACAGTATAGCTTATACATGAGGCTTTGTTCATTAGAAGTTGTAAATTACATTTACATATTAGTGTCATTTATTGACACTGCCTCCAGTGACTTCATGGTTGTACACTTTGAAGACGGTTAGCTGGAAGATTTTCCTAAGAAAGGATCTGGATTTGCATTGTTAATTTATCATTGCTTTGTGATCCTTCTCTAGATAATCATCTTACGTTTTCCCTTCATTCATAATTAGTTCTTTTCACTTTGGTGAAACATTAGGATAATTTAACTTATTTCAGCCTTTTATATATGAGAAGGAACAGGAAGGATGGAATTGTAGGTTATTTAATATTATATATTAGTGCATTAGAAAACATCATTCAAAAAGAAAGGAAAAAGTTATTGAGCAAATTTTCACCAGTGTATTTTAAAATTCCTTTCTAGTTTGTGCTATACGTGTTTATTAAAGCCATACTGCTGCTTGAATGGGGCTTCCTCGTGAAGAACCTGCTAATTGGGTGATACTTTCAAAGACGGAGGGGTCTTTTGAAAGGCAGCTTAGACAACAGATGGGATAATAACAGAACAGAATTAGAATTTTCGATAAGCTTGGCAGGTTACTGCTTCTGGGTAGTTGCTTGTGAATTAATGCCTGTCTGCCCATTCTGTCATATTTCCACTTAGTGTAAGGGTTGCTGGGCCAGTGCATCACCGTCTAATGGAAACAGACGTTCTTGTCACCTGTCTTCTGTGACAGATAGCCTTAGTGAAGATTACCTGTCACAATTGGGCTGATAAATGTGTTTTCTGGTGTTGTGACCGAGAACAAGCCTGTTAAACAACAGCTGTGGGAATTGGTTGTTTCCTGTAAGACTCTACTACTGAAGTGAAGTCGTGGTACTTCTTTAGTCCCTCCTGACTTCCTTGCATATATGTAAAATTGAGAACACACTAATCTCTGGAAATAGCGAAACACAGTGCTATGTACACAGTCCTGGGAAATAAATCGTGACTACAATTAGCCTACTGCAGTACATTTGCCAGAGACATGTAAATACGCTGAGTCCGATTTAAAACAAAAGCTCATTCCTCAAGAATGGTGACATCATCCAGATAAGACAGCCGTAATCCTTGACGTGTGTCAGGAACTAGTGCTGTGCTCTTGTTGCTGTGATAGCCTGTGTTGTCCCCTGAGATGCCGCGTTGCTGCTGTCTGGTTGCCCAGAAATGTAACCCATGCTTGAGTCCTTGAGTAAGCTCTGGTGCTCACTGATTTAAGCTAACAAACTGGGGTGTTATCTTGTCCATTGCCATAATAAACTAAGTTTTGAAATTGTAGTCACAAACAATACAAAGCAATTTGTTTCCAGATTTCATATCTTTCTAACTATTAATTTTTCTTTTTATTTTCTAAAATGTTTTATTCGTGATAGAGATTAAAAAATAAATATGGAATTTAAAAAGTTTATAAATGAACAGTGATGTTTTAAGGATAGAATTTGAATATATTAGCATTTTATAATATCAAGTCCACTTCTCATTTGGGTGAAATCTCTCCTTTTTATCTTTTAAACCCTGTACTACATTCTAGGATGGTGATGAGTCATCTCCAATTTTAACAAGTTTTGAGTTAGTGAAAGTTCCTGATCCTCAAATGTCTATGGTAAGCTGTTGTACAAGGCTTTTAAGAACATGTTTTCCTCTAGAATGAACACAACTTAGAGCCATGTAATATATTTTGAAATAGTAATACATATCTCACCTAGCCAGACTCGGTTTGTATTAGGTGCACTTCAGCTATTAGTAGTGAAATTTAAATGGGATGCTCAGAAGGAACGGTGACATCCTAAAAGTGGGTCTGACTGGTGGACAAAGGACCAAGCACCACTTTATTTAAATTGTGAAGGGCTGGTGGATGGGGTTGTTGAGTAAGGGTTATGTGGTCCAGGTTTGCTTTTCCTGCGATAAACACACGACCAGTAGCAACTTGAGAAAGAAAGAATTTATTTGACTTACAGGCTGTAGTCCACTATCAGGGGAAGCTAAGGCAGGGACTAGAGGCAGGAACTGAAGTAGAGACCATAAAGGAATGTTCTTGCTTTCTTCTGTCACCCAGGACTACCTGCCGAGGAGTGGCACAGTCTGCTGGGCCTTCCCAAACCCATCACTAATTTAAAAACGCCCCTCAGGCTTGCCTACAGGCCCTTCTGATGGGACATTTTCTCAGCTGAGGTTCCCCTTCCTAGATGCCACATGCTTGTGTCAAATTGACAAAAACCAACCCAAATAGCACAGTCGTGGAAAGGTGAATAGCCCTAAGTAAGATCAGTGATTCATGTTTTATGAAGATCGACTTATAAGATTGCCACAGCTACCAGATCTAGTAGGCAAGAGGCTTATGCAAAGAGATGTTAAGGGCAAAGACAAAGGATTCAGAATTAAAAATTAGTAAAAGGACAAACGTTAATAAAAATGTGTTTTTAATAAAGTAAAAATCAAAAATATCCTGTTTTCTTTGCCTGTGTACCTATAAGTAATTTATCTATCAATTTGTGGTTTTTCAGAACATGGTGTCTTTGTATAGCCCCAGCTATTTTAAAACTAGCTCTTTAGACCAGGCTGGCTTTGAACTCACAGAGTTCAGCCTGCCTCTGCCTCCGGAGTGTTGTGATTAAAGGAGTGCGCCACCACGCAGATGTAGGTAAATTTCAGTGGTTCCATGGGTAGCATTAAGAGTATGGTTGATGAGTTTGGCCTTGTGTCAAACAGTCTGCGGCAGATGAGGGCATTCAAGCAACAGGATCACTGTCTATACGCTTAGTTGTAGAGTGATATTTTACAGGTGTTGAGTGGCTGGTGAGTTCTGTCTGGTGGTGGTAGATACTAGTGTGAAAGTGATGATATCTGATAGAGGATGTAAGGATTTTAGGGTGTCTGGAAGGTCTAGTAAGTGGGGTGTCCGCTGTATATTGCAGTGCTGGACTTACAGTTTCTCAGTCTTGTAGTGGGTCCATAGGGCTGGAGTGGTACCAGGCATCATAAAATGGCTTTAAGAGAGGGCTTTGTCTTTTCTGACTTTTGAAGCTTGCGTTTGTAAGGTTTACGTTCTCTGTATATCTTCATAATATGTTTGTAGGAGAATTTAGTGGAAAGCAAACACCACAAGCTTGCTCGGAGTTTAAGAAGTGGACCGTCTGACCACGACCTCAAACCCAATGCTGCCACAAGAGACCAGCTAAATGTAAGACACTTACAGACTGTGTGGGCACAGTAAGTGTAAGACACTTAAGAGACTGTGTAGACACTAAGTGTAAGATACTTAGGGACTCTGTGGACACACTAAGTGGAAAACACTTAAGAGACTGTGTGGACACACTAAGTGTAAGACACTTATAGACTGTGTGGACACACTAAGTGTAAGACACTTACAGACTGTGTGGACATACTAAGTGGACATTTCATTGTAGCCGGCAGTGCACGTTATTTCCATGTTTTATGGATTATGTAACTTCCTGACTTGAGCAGATTCACGTTGTCTGCAGAGTGCGTCTTCTTTAAGTCATTCACAACTTTCAGTAATTCTGTCACTGTGGAGACTAACTAGAAAATGGTAAATATTTTCAGAGTTTCATGTTCTTTGAAATGATCCCTGAAACATGAAATGAAATGTAAATATGCATTAAGTGTATGTTTGATAAGTGTAGTTCTTTATCTTTTGTTTTAGATTATTGTGAGTTATCCACCAACCAAGCAGCTCACATATGAAGAACAAGATCTTGTCTGGAAGTTTAGATATTATCTTACCAATCAAGAAAAAGTAAGTTCCTTGAATAGTTCATGTATCAGATTTACCTATAGATGTTCTTCTAGCGATCAAAGTAAAGCTGCACTACAAATGCAGCTGTGGTCAAGCAAACGCGCTACATAGCAGTACGCTCGCTGCACCGGCGTTTAAAAATGCAGTAAAAGGTGTGGACAGAAAAGGCACACGCTCCTGTCTGTTAGCTCCTAGAAGATGTGGGAATGAATTTGGAAGATGGAATCAGGCTCAGTTTCTGCCTCTGCAGTTTGTGCACATGAGACAGGATAGGGTGGCATCCTGTATTTCTTGTTCTGATGGAGCCAGCTTTTCATCGTGGGTGAGATGACTCGGTACCTGTTCCATAGCATGTACAGAGTGAACCCTGGTTCCTTCCTTTCTTACCCTCTTTGCTCTGTATTCCCTTGTGATTAGGAATGCAGTCATAGTGATTTAAAATAAAGAAGCGTATACTTCTGGAGATAACAGGGACAGAGGAAGATGTGAGCAGTGTACCTTGTCAAATGGAAGCTGAGTTAGTAGAGTGTCAGACGGCTAGTTTGCAGGATAGAAGTGAGGCCATTTGGTAGGGAAACTGGAGGGCTGGGGCTTCTGGAGGGAGCATGGTGATGGATTGCCGGGACTAGGCCAGAGTTCCTGATGTTGTATAAACTGTTACACTGAGCCGGTTTTAACTGTAGGACAGTTGTTTGCTGTATTGAAGCTCTGGTTTCCTGTGCTTAATACAAGATGATTCCATGATAATGATTCTGTGTCTCTTGCAGCTCTTGAAGTATTCTATCTTAATTTGAGGGTCAAAGATTAATTCTTTAAAAAAATTAGATTATTTTATTTTATGTGTACAAATGTTTGGCCTGCATGAATGTATGTTTACCAATTGCATTCTTAAATAACTGATGGATGCTAGCAACCTTTATATCCCGAGCAAATTCACTGTGTGCAGTGTAATCACTGTCACACAGGTAAAGATCTACTACAGGGCCATGAAGGTATGCAGACATGCTGCTTCTTGGGATGCTCATGTTTGTGATTTAGAAGGGAAGGGCTCAGTGGAGACCCAGAGACTAGAACATGGGAGATTAGCAGTGGGCTTCTGCATCCACTAGGGGACAGCAGAGATGCATTAGGAAAGCTTGGCATCTCACGGCGGAGATTGAACCAGCGTGTTGCAGTTTCATGACGTGCTCTCCTTGCTTCAGTTCATTTTTCTAAGGTAAAAGTAAAATGAAGATAGGTATCATCTTAAGCTCCTCAGCTTTTCCTGTTTCCTTAATCGATGGCTTGGAAACCCTTTGTGGATGAGTCTTGCCTGTTGTCCTTTGTATCTAGGAAAAGGGGAGGGATCTGATGTTGCTCAAGCTCTGGGGGCCTGGTCGTCCTCCTCAGCGGCATGTGGCTTGTGACTCTGTGTTCTGTAAACTTGAGTTAGCTGCACCATGCTGTGCCAAGGGAAGAGTGTGCGGACACAGAATGCTCAAAATAAGCTTATTACCTGGGGTTAGGTCTGACAGTCTGAGAAAAAGAAATGTAACCAGGAAAGCAGAGTGAGGTGGTGGTTTTTTTGTTCTCTCTCTCGTTCTCTCTCTCTCTCTCTCATTCTCTCTCTCTCTCTCTCTCTCTCTCTCTCTCTCTCTCTCTCTCTCTGTGTGTGTGTGTGTGTGTGTGTGTGTGTGTGTGTTGTGTGTGTGTTGTTCTTGTGTGTGTATGCAGTGGGCGGTGAGTTGAATCTGCATGTACAGTTAAAATCAGGTGTCTTCCTCCTTGCTCGGTCTCCATTTTATTTCTCTCAGTGAGCTGCAGTTTACCCATTCGGCTCCAGTGGCTGACCACTGAGCCACACTGTCATCATCTCCCATCCATACGAAGTTTTTCATGCTTATGGAGCTCGCTCTTCTGAGAGAACTGAGTAGAGTTTTCTGGGGACTGGATTTGAAAGTATTACAGCTATCTTTCTTTAAGAGCTAATGTGTAGATAATAAATTAGTAACAACTCATAGCTATGCATTCTGCCAGGAGTGTTTCCAGGGGACCTGGCTGTAACAGGGTTTACCTTGAGGACAACTGAAGTGAGCATGTGTTGATTGTGCAATCAGGAATGACGTCTGCTGGGCAGCCACATGCAGACATGGAGTAGCCAAAGAAATAGGCTTCTAGAGAGGTGCGGCCGCCGCCTCACAGACTGTGGCTGGCTCTGTACCTAACTGTCCTGGTGTTCGGATGTTAGTGTTTTAATTGCATGTCTTTTTAAGGACTTGCTTCTCAGAGAGACATTCTGGTTTCTGTTTCCCCCTTTTTTGAGAGTATGTAGCAAAGCTAAGGAACCAACCTGATCAGATAGTGAGTGAGGCCACTTGTGGGACCTTCCTTAGGGCTTGTGTGGGGTTTCTTGTGACACACTGCTGACACTGTAAAGCTAAGGTTGCTTCCAAGACATGTTAAACTTCATGGACTTTACCTCAGCATTTTCCATGTTTTGAGGCCTCCAGTATTTCTAAACCACAAAAACAATCTAAAAACTTACTTTGCCCTGCAGTGTTTTTATCCTGGAAGCTACAACGTCATAAGGAAGATGCTTTTCTATTGTGTGGTTCACTGCCGCCCTAGAACCAGACCTTTGTGCAATGTCCCTTGGCAGGAGGGTGTGGCTTCTAAATGCCAAATCTTTTCTGGTTCTAGGCTTTGACAAAGTTCTTGAAGTGTGTTAATTGGGACCTGCCCCAGGAGGCCAAGCAGGCCCTGGAGCTTCTGGGAAAATGGAAGCCTATGGACGTGGAGGACTCCTTGGAGCTGCTTTCCTCACATTATACCAACCCAACCGTGAGGCGGTACGCGGTGGCCCGCTTGCGGCAGGCCGACGATGAGGTACATGACTGTTCTTCACTCCCGCTTGACTGTCTGACACGTACATTCAAAAGTGTCGAGTCTAAGACCAGTCACTTGCTACAGACTCGTGTGTGTGGGGGGTGGGCGGGGGGACCTGGGAGAAGGGAGTTACTAAGGGAAATATATGCATTTAGGTGTGCTAGTGAGGTTTCCAGAAGTATTTAAAGTACTTCGGCAAGGGCTGCTGTGAGAGGAAAACTGAAGTGAATTCCAGGTCTGTTACATGGTGGGGCCTCTCCCCCAGGGCTTTCCATTGGCACCAGAGCTTGTTACTCACAAAGGGCATTTAATGGAATCCTTGAGAGATGTCCTGAGCACGGACTTTCTGTTCCCATGGAGGCTTAGGTGCAGCATTATCCTCTCTGTAGACACATTCTTCATGCTCTCATTTTGTATTCTGGACACTTCCTCACATTGCCATGATTAGTGAAACCTTTGGCCATTGGTAACATATAATACATGAATGAAATTCTCAAAGAAGAAGAAAAGGGGCTCCAGGTTCTTCAAACTCTGACTTTTAAGGGAAAGAAGAACAAAACTTATTTCAGAATTGTCCTGAAGCAGAAATTCTTTGAAAATGTGAGGTGCATCCTCCAGCAGTGTTAGACATGGCATGCATTTGATTCTCTGCAGATAACAAGTCTCTTCTTTAATCTCTTGCTTCTGCAGGAGCCATTTCCAGCTCCCTCCTCACTTTCCCGCTTCCTTGTTTTGTTGTCCAGACAGCCCTACTCATGAGAATCATCCGTTGGCCCCTCACTGTGTGCTGAGCACTCCCTCGTCTCTCTCTGTGACTGTTTCTGCATTCTTTGCTGTCCTGGTCTCTGTATAAGTACAGACACAAGGATGCACCCAGAAGTTGAGTAGCTTAGCAGCAGCCAGTAGTAACAAATAGATAGGCAGAAGTCCAAGTCAGGTGCTTCCCGACTGCTAGAAATGCGTGAGTCTGTACTTAGTGTGCTTCTGATCTTCTAATACCAGTTTCTTTTTCATTCGCGTATTTCTAGGATTTGCTGATGTACTTACTGCAGCTGGTCCAGGCTCTGAAGTATGAAAACTTTGATGACATAAAGAACGGTTTGGAACCTACCAAGAAGGACAGTCAGGCTTCAGTGTCAGAAAGTCTGTCAACTTCTGGAACCAGTTCGGCAGAAATAGATAGGTATGGCTCTCCAGGGAAGATTGTTTTTACTGTGACACTTGTCCCTTTCCATGTTTTCCTCTTCTTTCATTTGTATTGTTGTCTTCTTCCCTTTCTCCCTCACGTTCCAAACAGATTCTATCCTTTCTAATTTTGATTTTGACTTTTGGCATGGGAACTCACTAAGTGAATTTAGGAATATATACACACAGATTACCAGAGACCAGTCTTGCCTGCTTCTAGCCAGAAGACCGGAGTGAAAGCGTCAAGTCTGCCTCCTAGCTGTGCAAACTTACTCTTACATACTCGTTTATGTGACTGCTGTCTCTTTGCTAAAAACCAGGATAACAGTCGCAGCAGCTCCTTGCTTGCAGGTAAAATGATCGTACAAGGTTTTACATCTCACTCATCTCTTCTCTTCGGTTTCCAGCTCCCAGATTCTAACCAACCCTCTTCCTCCGGTGTCCTCCCCTCCTCCTGCATCTAAATCAAAAGAAGTTTCAGATGGGGAAAATCTAGAGGTGAGTAAAAAGCTCTCCAAAATTAGGATACAAGAGGGCCGGCCTGTCAGTCGACATTCTGTGTTGATCTTTAAGACCTTGGCTTGATTAGCAAACTAACCATTGTAACTTTCTTCAATAGCTGGCTTTTGGGTGCATGCTATGACCTTTCCCCTCGTGTAATATGCTGGCTATTATTTGATTCATTTTATTGGTGCTCTGGGCATGCACATAGGTTTATGCAGCATGAAAATAAGCTAAGCTCAAATATTTTATCAGGGAGACTCAGGATGTTCATTTTAATATATTAATGAACACCTTAGTGCAGTTGTCAGTATTTGTAATTGTACCATAGAAATGTTTGATTCTATAAAATCATACACTGAGCAGATGTTTTTAATTCATGCAGACAGGCAAACTCAGTTTTGAAGGGAAACAGCTCTCCTAGACTAGCCGTTGTCTGAAGAAAACACGCCAGCTCTTGTGTGTGTTGGTAAACAGCAGGGCCAGCCATAGGTGAGGACGTGAACATGGAAGATGGGGTCCGAGGGAGAAGCAGGTGTCATTGGTGTCCAGCCTGCAGGTCATCACGCGAGCTTTCTTTAGCAGCTGGTGAAACAATTGAGGTGAACATCTCAGCATTCTTACCTTACTCTGGGAGTGCTGTGACGTGACCAGGTTAACAATAATGTGTTCAGAATGTCACCCTGCTTACTACCTAGAATGCAGACTGTAGCTTAAACAGTTTTATCTATTTCCAACATTTTTTTCTTGTGACTGATGAACCAACATCTGGGCTGACTGCTACTCAGAGTGTTCACATAATGCAAACCATCACAGAGTGCTGGGGGGCCTTTTGAGTGATGACCCTCCCTCTTCCTCGGCCTCAGAGAAATAACGGTATGCATGCCATCAGAGCTTTCTAGTTGGTACTCACCGAGGTTGGTCACACCTCTTACTTCTCTGGATCATAGACTGAGACCCCAGTCTGTCCACACCTGATCCATTTCTTCTGCCCTTCCTCGTTTCTTTCTTGAACATTCAGACATCAGTTTATATCAGTAAAAACATGATACAGCCTGAGTTTTCTGAGTTCTTGGATAGAAGGCATCAGGCCCAGCATTGCAGGGGTGGAGTCAGTGACAGGAACTTGAAGCAGCTTACCCACAGTCATGCACAGAGAGCTCTTGTGCTTGTACTTACCTCACTCCCTCCTCCTTCAGTCAGGACCCCCCCCCCGCCCGGGGAATGATGCCACCCACAGTGGGTGGGAGTGCCTTCCTCATTTAATGTAACCCAAGATAATCCCCGCAGTCATGCCCACAGCCTGAGCTAGATAACCCCTCATTAGACTCTCTTCCCACATGATTATGCCAAGTTGACAGTTGCATCTGTCACAGAGCGAAGGCTGCTTGTAAGATGGGGGAATTGTGAGGGTTTCTGCTATTGTTTGTTTTGTTGTATGCATGCCTGTAGGTATTTTCTTGAAATGTTTTTCAATCTCCTTTTAATCAAATGCAGCATATGTTTGTATTTCAAGCTTATCTTTCAACATGCCAGATAGTCAAATCTCTGTTTTAAATCTTGTTTAGTAGTTTGTCTTAGCTGGAACTTCTACCTCACTCGTTTTTCTTTTCTTTTCTTTTGCTGTTTGGTAATTATTGCTATATTTTAATAGAGTATCTGATATAATACTCTCCTTTCTTAGTTATATATAAATATATATTTTCCTTGTACATCTATGGTTAAATCCATCTTCCAGTCCTCTATCTCTACCTGATCCCTAGTTCATAGATTCTGTCTATATATATATATGTATTTTTTTTGCTGTAGTTAACGTAGATATTTTAAGTTACGTTCTTAGCTTTCATAATTATTACTTTTCTTCTATATAATATTGGAAGCAGTGCTGACCCAGTCTCCACTGGTACGTCATTGTTAGTTACCAAGTGTCTTAGTTCTGTACTCTTCTCCTTTTGGTTGTGAACCTGGTCTTTAACGGCTGAGCCATCTCTCTAGCCCTATTCTTAACCTCTAAAATAGATGCTATTGTTATTTATTATTAGACAATCTGGGAATGTATAGACCTACACGCTGCTAAGAGTACCTGTAGCCTTCTATTTCTTCTGGTGTCTCTGATCTGCAGTGTGAGCTCATTTTTTTTCTGCCCATTGTATGGCTTTCTCTTGTTACTTTTTTAATTATCTAAATTGAATTTTTAAATTTATAAGATAATGTAATTTTTACAGTTTTAAAATTTTAATCTTTGTTATTTGAAATCCATTTTAAAGAAAAAAATCTTAGTAACAAATGAAATGTGTTAAACAAATACTTCATTATAAAAATGTATCTCCAGTTGACAGCTGCTAGCAAAGGAAAAGTTAATTCTTACTGTAGGCCCCATGACAGCAGTAGATGACTAATCCAAAATTAACTCAATGACATTTTTTAAGTTTTTTGTCTCATATTACTTTGTTTGGACATTTTTGTTTCTCATCGGTCCTTTGCTTATATATTATGCTTTCTAATTTTGTGTTTTTATGGGGTTTTGTGTATGTTTCTTGTGCTTTTTGTTTGTTTTGTTATTTTTCTTTTTAAAATTCTGGTTTGTTAGCTTTTTTATTTGCCTGTTTGTTTTCTAAAGAGAGTGGGAAAACAGAATTGGAGTCAGATAGGTGGACAGGTGGGGAGGATCTGGGAGGAAATTTGAACGGGGAAACTTATCAGAATATATTGTATGAAAATCATTACTTTCAGTTAAAAAGGGAAAGCAATGTCTTCATCATAGGTTGAGGATGAATCTTGAGCCTAGATTTTCGTGTGTTGAACTTGTGCACGAACTTGATATTATAGTTGTTTATTTGAAGAGTATCTTCGTTGGCTTCTCGGTACATGTTTAAAATGTAGATTAAAAACATTCTTCTTGAATTGGGGACGTAGCTTAGGAGTGGAGTTCTTCCTTACTGTGCTTGAAGGCCCTTCTTCTCTCACGATTCCCTTAAGAAGAAAAGAAAATCCCTAGAATTGGGGATACTGTTGTCACCACTGGAACATCAGCCATGTCTTTCCTGATAACCTCTGATTTCTCTCTCCACTTAGGGAGCTCTGTTGCACTGAGACCTCTGATCCCTGTTTTATGTCCTTTTCATTGTCCGTCAGCTCAGCCTTCTTCAGTATTTGTTTTCCTTTTAATGTAGTTTCCATCCTACGTCTCATCGTACTAGTCATTCTTTTCTGAGCATCTTCATTTCTTCTGGAAAGATCTTAACTCCTGGTAAAGCTTAATTAATCACATAATTTCTCCATGTCTGAATGCTGCAGAGGAAACCGCTTAGCTTGGTGTGTAGTGTCAATGCTCAGTCATTCGCCTCAGCATCAGCTAAGACTGCACCTGCTGTCCTGCGTTGCCCTAGGTGGGCTGGTGCCCTTGCCCCTCAGTGACCTTCTCCTCTGTTCTTAGTGTTCCACATCACACTCTCTAGGCAACAGTAGGCTCCATGGTCGTTGACACAATAGAAACCACTCGGAAGAGTGATGATTTTCTATCTCCAGATGTGTAGACACAAATCCCTCCTCATCCTTTCCTCCTTTTCTCTTACAGAGATATTGTAGAAATATCCAGATGTGCATTAATTCAGGAAATGCCTCGTGGTGCCCATTCCATTTGGCACCTAGCTGCTTATGTGCCTTTGGAACGAACTCAGTGATTTTTATATCTTGACTCTCCCACCCCGTCATTCCAAGGCTTTAGACCCATCGCTTTGGTTTTGCTTAACACTTTCTTTGCTAGTTTTCTAAGGGGCTTTGACATGGTCACATCATGCCCGGTTCTATCAAAGGCTCCTGTCTGGGAAGCTGTGACTTCCTGTGGCTTTAGGCAGTAACATTCATCTGTCACTCTTTTCAACTCTAATGTGTGTTTCTGTACAGTGCCCTTCATCCATCTCCACTTCTGTACTTGACATTGTAAAGCTCCCCAAGGTCCTCCGTCACCGTTTATGTTTACCCTGAGTCATACTAATAAGCACACACTTCAGTACCTAGCTCAGATCTCTTGTCTGAGTTTCTGATTTGTGTATCCAAATTCTTACTCTCCATGTTTCCTGTCTGATGTAACAAAGCAATCTACTTACTGAATGCAGCTCTCTTACTCATTTCTTCTTCACCAGCAATCCCTGTTAGTTATGATTCAGAACAGTTCTTTTTAGACTATTGTTAAAGATGCTACCTGACCTCAGGTCTGCACTTCGCAGGCATCTGAACTAACCAAACGTCAGTCAGACTGTCACACAGTCACATTAAGATCTTTTCTTGGATTTGGAATTCCTGTCCTTTCATTTACAGTTCCTACTCTATTGTACCCATCAGCTGTTGCATAATTTGACCTTTGTTCAGCTCTTAAATCTCTTAGTTTACTGATCACTGTAATTGAGCTTCATGCCAAGCATAGAGCCTTTTTATGCCCAGCCATCTGGGGTTGGTCTAGATGTGATGGTTTTACCATTGGAACTATGATTTTTTTAATTGTCTCTGTCCATTACCAAATATATTGATTAGGAGAACAAAGAGCTCCATGTCCTCTTATGTACTATGTTAGTTTGTAGTCATTTTGGGTGGGTGGATTGTAGGATGGATGGGAAAGATGGATGGCTGGATGAAAATCTGTACTATGACTTCAGATGAAAACTGATGGCTGCCGTAGGGCCTTTCATTTGCCTCCTGTTAGTAGCAGATGTGATATATATTTCTTTCAATTTTTTTCAGCAAGATCTGTGTACCTTCCTGATATCAAGAGCCTGTAAGAACTCAACGCTGGCTAATTATTTGTACTGGTATGTGAAAATAATTTCGTTTGTTTCAGATCACTCCTTTGAACTACTTTTCTCGTGCTGTAAACATAGAAAACTCACAGTGGAGGCCATCACCAAATGCCACCCATCACCACCATAACTGTGTCATAGAAGTCAGTGTCCTCAGACTCTCTCTTCTGCTAATTTTCAATAAGTTATAAATGTCTGTGGTGACTCCCCCTTCTCCCAGTTTGGTCTGCTTCTCTTTTTTGTTATTTCAGTAGTATACAATACTTTATAACTTTTCATGAGTGTATTTTTACATTATTTACCAAACAATTAGAACCCTACAAAAACAGAACTTGAAATTAAACGTCTCTTTCTCTCGTTGTACAGAAGAAGGGGCTTAGGTAGAAGGATGCTCTAACTGAATCTGACAGGTATTGATTACCATACATTATCCGCCGTTTGTAGAGGCGACTCAGTGACCATTTTCCACTCTGCCCCAAGTAGTTACGTGGGGTTAACTATCATGACTTACATGGAAACAGTGTAAAACAAAGGTGCTGAAAGGCGGAGGTTATTGCCTGTACCAAAGTTAGTATGAACTGTGGCTCCCTCTTTGTCTAGAACGTTAAGGTGGAGGCCATATCGATAAATGCATTGAACCAGTGGAAAAGAATCACTGGGTTGAAATTCCGACAAATGAGTCCTGTCCTCTTTTGTAGAGGATCTTAGGGCACAGCCTGCTGGGTGAGCTGGATTGGAAACCTGGGTTTTTAATTCATGACCTTAATTTAAGCAGCACAGATTAATAGATGTTCATTTTGAAAATTTCTCATTTTTCAATAATCACAAGATATTTTACTTTTGTTGAAGAAAATAAAGTGCCATCTTATTTTAGACCGGGTTTGAAAGCCCTGTTATATGGGCTGAGTCAGGCTCCTGCTCACTCTCTCTTTATCAAAAAGGAAAGGAACCAGGGCACTTGTAAAAGATACAGGTGCTTGGCCTGCATAAACAGTACTGTCTGAGCCTTTATGGTTTTCTCCAATGGGACCTATGAGTTTTCCCCTTGCCCAATAATGGAACTAGTGGAAAGCAAAAGTATCTCCAGGTGTCTGCTTTCGCAGTTGAATGTATTAGTCATAAAAATATATTCCCTTCGCAGTAAATGTGACGATGCACTTGAAAATACATTACAGAACATTTTGGCTAGTTGTAATTACCAGTTTTTCATTTAAGATTTAGTTACAAATTTTCATATTGCCAAATGGCTATTTTGATATAATAGAAACCTGCAGTTAATGTCCCTTGCATTTTTATCTGAATGCTTTAGTGTGCTTCTGTTCACACTACTACAGAAAAGCATTTCTTGTGAAAAGCTAAGTAAATATTTAAAAGAGAAAAGACAGAAAAAAATTTGCAGGGCACAGAAAACATGGACAGCCACACTCCATACTCTTGAGAACAGTCCATCTGACCCAGACTCTTTGTGGGTTTCTCTACTCTGCCTCTGATTCCTTGAACTGTCTGCTCATTTTCAGAGGGCAACAATATTATAGTCTACATATTATGTATGTAGTACTATTCATTGGTGAGAAAAACTATTGATAGTGATGCTTGACTTTGGTAGACACTGCTCTTTTATGAGTGTAGAAGAATTATATGGGAAGTAATCTCTAGGTTTTCCTAAAGTGGGCAAGCTTCCTCCGAGTGTGAACTAAGTGAGGACGTAGACCCTCTCACCAAGCTTCCTCTGTCCTAACAGATGAATTGAAATCTCAGGTTTAACTGATTGTACTGTTTTCTTCTGAACACCCTGCACTTCTTTGCCATTTTTCTCCCCTTTCCACCTGTTTCAGTAGGATTCTTGCTATAGCTACATCCTTGAGGGGCCAGTAGCTGTGCAGACAGCCCCTTTAAAATGAGTGGTGCCAACACTGTACTCCACAGAGGGGAGTTATGTCTCTAGCTGTAAAATGTTAGCATCAGAATCCATAAATCCTTGGAGTTTTTTATTTTTATAGTCACCGTGGTGTGTTGAAAGGAAAGTAAACTTTTCGATGCTGTGACATGTTTTCTCTGACTTCTAAGGCCTTTGAAAGTAATGGAGGTAGTTACTCCACAAAATGAGATTGTCAGGGAAGAGGGAGCCTGACGATGCTGAGCACCTGGGCAGGTTGTCACTCTTCCCCTTTAGATGCCAGCTTTCCAGGAAATGCCATGCAGAGCTCTGTGAAACTTGGTTGGTGGGTGTAAATAGCGAATTGTAAAATGACTAGCCTCTGGGTCTTCAGTCCTCATCTGTCCATGGAGATGATGTCATTTGTACTGTAGCTGACTCATTTCTTTCAGCAGAAGGTTGACTTGAAGCATTAGCAGAGTGCTTGTTTAATCGTGGAGGTTAGCGTGCACCTTCAGGTTCTGGAAACTGCTGCAGCCGCTTACACTGTAGTTAGCAGGTGGTGAACATAGTGGTGAGGCCTGCGGACGTGGTCATGTTTGTTTGTGGATGACTTTGCTACCTAAGTACATAGGAAAAGAAAAGGGATTATAATGGTGGTGGGGGCCATCAGTAAGTTAAGCAGCCAGGCTTAGATTTGGTGACTGGAGTTTGCAAATACTCTTGTTCTAACATTCTTTTTTTTTTTTCCGAGATACTCGAGTTTCTCTGTGGAACAGCTCTGGCTGTCCTGGAACTCACTTTGTAGACTTGAACTCACAGAAATCCGCCTGCCTCTGCCTCCTGAGTGCTGGGATTAAAAGCGTGTGCCACCACTGCATGGCTTTGTTCTGACCTTCTTATGTGGTCCTCAGGTGACACAATCTGATTCACCTTTTGTTTGGGGACGACAGAGCCATCCTCTAAACCTTGTTTCTTGATAAGTGACCTGTAGAGTTGTTCATCTGCCCTCTGAGCACCTGAAATGTGGGCAGTATGAAACAAGACATCAACAGTTGATTTATTCTTATTGTTTCCATTGTTTCTTGAAATGATATCTTGTTTCATAGTGTGTGCTCGTCTAGAAGCCAAGTTGTACCTGCTTCTGCCTCCCACATGACAGGATTGTAGGCATGCATGGCAGTACCTGGGACATTGGGATTCATTTTAATCTAAAGAGTCTTGTGCCTAATGGCGCTGCAGATGTTCTATAAAACATCTCTAGTTCTTCATACTTTTATTAATTTTTAGTTTACAACTCTTGTTGAGAATGATGAAGTATATCTAGGGTCATGCTTCAACTCCTCACAGCACTTTTCTGGCAACGCCAAACCTCAAGAACATCTGCTGTTGTGGCATAGCATTAGCGTAGCTCTGAGCAGAGGAGAGGACAGCTCCTACCTCCTTCACAGTAGTCATCTGTGTGCGCGGTCGTGTCAGATAGTCAGTCGGCAGTTCCCCTGAGCATTCGAGGTCTGGCGCTTCCGTCAATGCCTTTGACCCTGGGAGGGTGCTGCGAGTAAACATGGGGAGCAGGGACAAACAGGAGCTGTGGTCAGGACAAGTGGTCGCTTACAGAGGTGCATGGACTTCCTGAGAGAGACGGATGTAGCTGTGACTGAATGGAGGATGGGAGGGTGCCAGGCAGGGAGGGAGGGAAGGAAGGAAGGAAGGAAGGAAGGAAGGAAGGAAGGAAGGAAGGAAGGAAGGTAGGTAGGTAGGTGTCTTTGGCAGATGCTGCCATATGTGCCCAGTCAGGGTTGGTGGCCCGAGTGCATGCCTGGTGATGGGATTGATTCCCCAAGCTCAAGAACTCAGTCTGTTTTAAGCGGGAACACCGATGCTTCTGCTATTGTAGCTAGGCAGGGCATAGTTACGGCATTTTAAAGAAAATCTGAAGGTGGTTAAGTTGAGGAATAAGAATTTTCTTGTTGAATTTCCGGGTAGGGCGGGGCTGGCTGGTGCAGAGGCACCATGAGCATTTAGTGGAAGCAGTGAGCAGCTGCACCCAGTAACTGAGCTCGGGCTTCTTAGGGGTGGGTGGAGGACCACAAGCTGTGTATGCCTCTGGACGTGTGAGCCAGCGCTCAGCACAGGCAGCGCAGCTGCTAGCCAGGTATTCTCTTTTTCGGCTGTCGTGACTCACCCCCTCTTATTCGTGTGATGAAGGCATTTCCTGCTTGACTTTTGAGAAAACAAGTTTTGTTAATTTTATTTACTACATGAAAAAAAATCCATCTTAAAAGCATGGGTCATTTATTGATTGGGTGTTCAGTAGTTCAATTAAAAAAAATTCCGATTTGGTAAGTTTTATGTATTTTGTTTAAAAATACCACAGTGTCTTCTTTTTAAATTTCCAGTGCTTGCAAATCCCTGGATGAATATGAAACCAGGTCATATAATATGATGGAAATTATACCTTACATGAACAAAAGATATATATATTCATGTTGTAGAATTACCAGTACTGAGACTCGGCCTGAATCCATGACACTCCAGTCATTCAGCAGTAAAAATCATCTTCTACCGGGCATGAGCGGGTATAGAACAAGACACGTGAGTGTCTTAGGCAGTTTACCCTCTAGGTGGCTGAATGGTTTCTTCTAGTAACAGTACAAAGGACAACAGTATGTGCAAATGCCATCAATTAAGAAATTTGGAAGTTTCTTGTGGTATTTGAAGTTGGAGTTGAATAAGCTTAGCAGAATAGAAAGAATTCTGCCAGGGCCATAGAGAGATTCTCATAGGACAGGGTATGTGCTGTTCAAGCATAAGTTTGGGTCCCAAATATGTATAGAACGCTAGGTGACTTGTAATTGCCTTCCTTGGGGGTGACGAGAGACCGATGCCCAGAGTTCAGCAGCCAGCTTGCCTAACAGATTGGTGAGCTCCAGGTTCGGTGAGAAATCCTCTTGGCTTGGCAGCTGTCTTCTGAGTCATCCACATGTACCACCCTGGGAAATACCTATATAGTCTTCCAGTTTTCACTGTTTTGAATCATGATCTCACTAACCCAGGCCGGCACTGATAACTCTGCCTCCCGAGTGCTGGAATTAGACTTGCTCCTCCCTCCCCTGCTCTCGCGTCTCACTGTGGATAAGGCACGCACGTTGATCTAAGTGTGTTTGTCATGGCCCACTGAGAGTGATGTAACGCTCTTTACAAGTAGCATTGCCACTTAAACAATGTAAGTGTCCCAGGGCTCTGCTTCTTACGTCCCACACCTAGGTTATGCATTACGGTTTGTTACCATCAGAACATTTGAGAGCATACGCTAAAATACCTCTCACTTAGTATATTTGTGTGTGTGACTTTTGTTACCATCAGAACATTTGAGAGCATACGCTAAAATACCTCTCACTTAGTATATTTGTGTGTGTGACTTTTGTTACCATCAGAACATTTGAGAGCATACGCTAAAATACCTCTCACTTAGTATATTTGTGTGTGTGACTTTTGTAAACACACGAGGAATTTAGATGTAGGAAAACACGCTAACTGTCTAAAATAAGTTTTAGAATAGAAACGTAGATTTTATAGTTTTTGAGAATTAGGGAAATTGTATTGGAGAGATAAAAATCAATGCGAACTTTTTATCATCTTGCAAAAATATGTCAGAGAAAAAGGTAGCTCCAGTGGGGTTTTCAGAGTAAGAATACCTTTTGCGGTGCCAAATATGAGATGGGGAAGCAATATGTTTATTGTACAGTTACACTGTGCAAGCTTCATCGACAGAGGAAGGCATCGGTAGTATTCCAGGTGTTTCATAACATAGTGGAGAGTGTTTCCATGGCATCACGTAGGAAACTGAGGCAGATTGGTACTAGCGCTGTTGAGCATTGTGATTGATGGCTGCTTGTATTGTAGCTTACTTAGTGTTCATTTCTAAAGGGATGGAGACAGAAACCTTGTTTACTCTCACTCAACTCTTGTAACTGTGTGTTGATGTATTTTAGGAAATGTACAGATATTTATTGGATGAATCTGAGTTTCATTTCTCACCACATGTGATCACCACAGGTACGTGATCGTGGAGTGTGAGGATCAGGACACACAACAAAGAGACCCGAAGACTCATGAGATGTACCTGAGCGTCATGAGGAGATTCAGCCAAGCCTTGCTCAAGGTACTCAGGAGCGCAGCTGGGGTGGCCAGAGATGGCTGGTTCTTCTTACAGTTGACCTCGTGAGCTGAGAGAAACGTAAAGAGCCGGCTGGGGGGATGGCTCAATGGTTAAGAACACTGGCTGCTCTTCCAGAGGACCAGGGTCAGTTCTCAGTATCTACATGGCGACTCAAAACCATCCGTAACCAGTTCTAGGGATCTGACATCCCACCGTCTTCTGGCCTCTGTGGGCACCAGGCATGCTTGCTGTGCAGGTTTACATGTAGGTGAAATACCTGGACAAATACAATTAAAGAAACCTATTTTTTAACAAAGGAGATTAATATTTGTGCTACATGAAGATTATTTGAAATCCCAAGTTCAGTGTTCATCACATAGTTACTCATTTTCTAGTGTGTGTGTGTGACTGCTTTTGTTTGAAATGCATGGGTTTTTGATCTTTATTAAGTAAACCTTACATGGACCAAACAATGAGCAAATCCATGCTCTTTTATTTTGACATTTTCTGTCCTCTCTTCTAATCTAGACTCAGTGTAGTAGTTCTTTTGTAGACATTGCACCTGACTTCAGCAATGTCTTACATGGCCTTTTTTTTTTTTTTTTTTGCTGCTTTTGCTTCCATTAAGCAGTGTCCAGGTCAGGCCAGCAGAGGGCGCATGGACAAAGCAGCTGAAGGTACTCTGCAGCTCTGCTTTTGAAATGTTTCCTGGTATCTTCCTACTGTTACTGCTGTTTCCTGACTCAGGTTCTTGAAACGCTAAACTCCAGCTTGTCAATCACTGTTAGGCTAAGCTTGTGTCCAGCTCCCACTAAGAGGTGAGCCCTCACCCTCACCGCATCACAGCCTTGCTCTCTCCCAGAGCCTAGGCTCCCCTGTGTTTTAAATGATAGCACTTTCTCAGCTGCACTTCCCAGGTAGCTGGTGGAACGAGAAAATGTACTATGTATGTTTTAAAGCTGTTTTGGAATCAGGATCTTTATTACCTCAGTAAGCAGAAGCATTTAGGATGAATAAGTCCTGTTCTGTCACATGGTCATTTATATTACGGATTATCCTAACCAGTTGGTGGTGCTTACCCCAGACAGCAGGTTTCTCGTTACTTCTCAACCAAAATAATTGGTCTCTTTCAGCCTCGCTTGGCTTTGAAGTTTACTTTTCGAAGGGGAAGGGAATGTAAAAGTAGAGCTGATTTTCCTTGTTTCACTCACTCAGGGTGACAAGTCAGTCAGAGTCATGCGCTCCCTGCTGGCGGCACAGCAGACCTTTGTGGACCGGCTGGTGCATCTGATGAAGGCTGTTCAGCGGGAGAGCGGAAACCGCAAGAAAAAGGCAAGCCTCGGCGCTGCTTCCTGCTTCGTGCCAAAAGGGGCTTCACAGCCTAAAGTCCCGAGCCTGGACTGTTGTCCTTATGGGTTGCCATACTGTACACAATCACATTGTTTGCTTCCTTTTTAGAGACAGTTTCTTAACTTGCTGTGTAGCCTAGACAAGCCTTGAATTCATCCTCCTGCCTCAGCCTCCTGAGTACTAGGTTTAAAGACGTGAGCCACTATACCTAGATTTATATGAACTGCTTACGGGTAATCATAGTTCCAGGAGCCCAAAGCACTGGTGATACTGGGATTGCTTTGTAGGTCGTCATCAGCTAACATGGGGTGGTGTTCCTTGCCTAACTGTGAGGAACGGAGGGCATCGAGGATTAAGCGATCAGTGGGTCCAGTGTCACACCAACTACCAAGTTTTGGATCTGTTTATCCCCAAGCATAGTTTCATCTGTATTACATGCACATGGTATCTTCAGTTCTACTCCTGTAAGATAACAGGCAGATGTTTCTTGGTGGCCTTTGTCAGACACTGCAGCCCATCTGATGGACATACATCTATGAGAGAAAACTAAAACAGGAAAAGTTCAAGAATCGAGTCAAAACTTAAAAGGCAAGAGATAATCAAACAGACAAGATCAGGACAGTTGTTCACCCAACAAGAGAAGATGAACAATAGTTTTTTATCAGGTTGGCATTTTCTTTGTTGTTTAGCAGAGTCATAGAGCAGGATCAAATAAAGAACTCCCTCATGCCATTTGCTCCCCGCCCCGACTGTGCCTGTCTCCACAGTGAGAAGCAGTCCCCAGTGTGTCCCCAGCAGTGGGCGTGTCCACAGCTTGAACCTGTGGTCTTAGCAGCAGCCCTGGATAGTCTGATGAGACTGTGAGGCATGAACGCTGAGTGACAGCGAGATCTGGATTTCATGTGAGCAGTCTGCTGTGTTTTGCACAGGAGAAGATAAATCTGCGCCAGTGAAGAATTGATCCTGGTTTCAGAGGGTTAATGTCCCAGGCCTGGAGTATTACTGAAGGGAAATAATTTTGTGTTTTGTTGTCCTAAAATACTGTTCTTTGACCATCTAGTTCTTAGTGATTCTAGAACTTCCTTGTGGGAAGCTGTCTTCGCAGGGCTGCAGTCAAAGCCAGCCGACTTGCCTGGTTCATGCCTGAGGGGGGAGTGTGGATGGAGAAAGACAGAGACACAGGATGGAGTCAGGAGGGCAAACCCAGTCACTGAATGCCCTTTGTTTATTTGTTAACATTCTTCAGTACCCAACCAAAAGTGGGGACAATGGCAGAAGACTTCTATTATCATGTGTAAGGAGCAAACAGACTTACTTCCCTCAGTTCTCCAGGGATTTGGTAGCCACACCTACTATCCAGGCCTTCAGGGTCAAGAGTAAACACCTGAGCCCAAGTCTGTTATATAGATAAGGCCAAAACATCCTGCTTAGACCCTTAGGTCTAAGGACAGTTTTGGACTCCGATCTTGAGGCGAGGTGAAGTGGACCTCTTTATGGGTCCTAACACTTCCTCCTCTGGCGCATGTACCATATATCTGATGCATACATCACGAAACACTTTATAGCTTTGGGTTTCCCTCTTTAAAGCATGCACTTGCCTTTTAAAGACTGCAGGGTTCTGCTGGCTTCAGAGAAAATGGATTGTTTTGAAGCTGGGTAGCTGCACTTGAATCGATGTTAGAGACGCTTGGATTGCTGGGATTCTGAGATCTGTGATCTGTCCAGCATATCTATGCGCTAGCAAAATGAGAATCAGGGCTAGTAGGTAGGTAGTGGTTTCCTCCAAATTAATTAAATATTCCTGTTGAAGCTAAAGGATGCACTGGGTAGCAGATTGGAATACTTGGCTAATATTTGGTCAAATGAAATTACCCTTCTCCGTGGCTTCCTAAGTCCTTCAGAGAAGAAACTAACCTTTAATCTCCACTTGAATGTGCATCCCTGGTTCTTCCTCAGCTGCAGTTAGAAAATACATTCCCTGTCACTCTTGAAAAGTGAGTCTAGCTTCACGTAAGGAGCTACTTCCTGAAGGCACGCTGCTACGAAGTGGGTTATCTCTAAGAGACTGTTGCTCGTGTGTATCCTGAACTTCACCCTCGGGCGAGATGCATATACACATCTTCATGTGCTTTCATACACTTAGATGTTGTTAAGTGAAATAGATTATATCCCTTCCTGCTCCCCTTTCCTCCCTTCATCCCTCCCAGCTACCCTGCCCTGGATCCTCATGCCCCTCGGCTCAAGTTGGTGGCCACTATGCATTGTACAACCAATAAGGGAGCTCATTCCTAAGAGGTTAACTCTCCTCCCAGAAGTCAGTAATTGCTGCAGTTCCTGTCTAGGCCTGGGACCTTCCGTGCTGACACATCCATCGATACTGCTGTTGTCCCAGTCCGTGTTTGTACAGCCTTTTCTAGCAGAGACTGTTCATTAGCAGGCTTCCTGGTGTAACAGCTCTAGATGCAGTGGGACCTGGGCGAATGGAGCTGATAAATGAGTGGACTGAAGTCACATGAAAGAGTCAGTCTTACTGAAAGCCTAGACAGCTATACTCCGAGGGGTAAGAAAGTCACATGAGTCAAGTTCTCCTGGTCCCAAGCTGTGTGCAGTCTTAAGGACAAACTGCATGTAGCAAGAACCGTGTTTCTCCATAGACGTGTAGTTGAGTAGCGGCAGCAGCAATAATGAATAATCTGAAGCAAGTACTTCTCTCCACTACATGCCAGAGGGGCGTGAGAGCTCATTCCAGGTACAGTTCTGTTTTGAAGAAACTGAGCCCTCAAGACGCCTCTTGTTTTCTTGGAGTTGTTTCACAGACACTCAGAATCCCCTCTGCTTGACTCCATTCCTGCACCCTGTTCCTAACCCTGATACTGGTTCTTCTTGCAGTCTCTTTACCCCTCCCCACTATGTTCGCTGAGCCAAAGATGCGAAAACTATGATGCAGATGCATTGGCACTGGGCTCCCCGCAGTCTCTGAATTGTGTCCTCTTGTGATTTTCTGTGACGGCCTCCATGTGCTGGAAAGGTTTGGTACCACTTGCCTGTGGGTATAAGGAGATTTTGAGTGGAGCAGGGAATTAGCTGGCAAAGTGGAGTAAGACTCTTTTCCAGGGTCCACGGCCTCTCTAGCCCCAGAAGGTAGGCGAGGTTCCCAGTGCCAGGCGCGGTTTTCCTCCCGTGGAGTGGGCTTTGCGTCAGATTGATGCCCGCTGCTGGTGGCAGCCGGTGTGTGAGTGCAGCTTCTGGAGTCTCTGTGCCTCTTGCCACGCTGGTAGTCATGGTTCCTAAGTGCCCCATCCTGGTAGGACTGTTGCTTCTCTCCCTTGGCAGCTTGCATAGTGTTTCCTGGGACATGAAAGCCAGACCTCAGAAAAGAGGCTTTCAGGTCAGCTCCTGCTCAAGGCCAGTCAGGTGTCCTAAGTGTGGGATGTCTCCAGCAATAGAGGCAAAGAACACCAGGGTTGTTTGATAAAGCCTCAAGGTACTCTATTCTTTTATATTTACCTCAAGTTATATACCATAAATAATATTGCATATGTATGCATACATTTACATAAGCAGGCTCATACATGTATATGCGTGTGTGTCCTAAAGAGAATTAGGTAACCTGGACTGATAGCGCTCCCTACAAGAATCATAGAGGAGTGAAAATCCAGTACCAGGCACGAGAAAGGGTGAGGGTTGTGCGGTGACTCCCGAAGCAGCGTGGTTTGTGTGGAGCTCTGGTTGCCTCGTGGTGAAGGCGGTCCTTTGTTGATAGTTTTATGAGCTTTGCAAAAGCAGCACTAGAATCACACTTTTAGGCCTTTATTATCTGCTTGTCAACCTTTTTCATTCCATCTCATTACTCCTTTCTGATTTGCTCTAGAACGAGAGGCTTCAAGCATTGCTTGGAGATAATGAAAAAATGAACTTGTCAGACGTGGAGCTGATCCCATTGCCATTAGAGCCACAGGTGAAAATCAGAGGGATCATACCAGAGACAGCCACACTGTTTAAGGTAAGGCTGACAGATCATCCTGTGCACCACTGGGGCCCGGGGTTTGGAATCCGAGTAGAATTGTCACCTTGGAAAGTGAGAACATTTTGGGAAGAAACCACATTTCACTTGATAAATGTTAGATTAAAAGGTGCTGTTTTATTATTTTCATCTTGTGTTTTATTATCCATATTCTTGTAGTTGTTTTTTTTTTTTAATTTTTTGATTGATTTATATGAGCGTTTTGCCTACATGTATGTATGTGTGCACTGCGTACTGCCTGTGTACCTGGTGCCCTCAGATCAGAAAAGGGTATTGGATCCCCTGGAACTCAGTTACAGATGGTTGTGAACCACCGTGTGGATGCTGGGAATAGAACCTGGGTGGATCTTCTGCAGAAACAACAAGTGTTTTAACTACCGGGCTATCATTCTGGCCTGTTATTATTATACTTTAAGATCTTTTGTGTTACAATTATAGAGACATTTCTAATGAAAATATGTCATTTTTGTCTCTGAAACTTTTTTTAGATATTTACTTCTTTGAACAGTACTAGAGCCACAGTTACTATTTAATTCATATATGGTACTTTTTAAAGATAAATTTCAAGGCTTGAATTATATATTCAGTTAATAAGTTCAAATGGCTAGCTATGAGGCCCACTTACAATCTTAAGCATAGCACAATACTCATTCCTTTGTACTTTACATTGCTTTGGTTACTTTTTTTTTTTTATAAGACAGGGTTTCTCTGTATTGTTTTGGAGGTTGTCGGTTAAAGTACCAGTTGTCTTTGTTCTTAGCAATGTGCCAAATGTTCTGTCACTGGCTATTGACTGTACAGATAGAATCAAATTTAGCAGACTTCATGCAGGATGATCTGGGAGACATTGTGGTTAAAGTTTTGTGATTCTAGGAGCACACAGCCGTAAGATAAGCTTCACTGACATTTCCTCCTATCTGGTAAGGAAGAGCTCCTAGAACATGGCGGAAGAGACCCCCTAAGGCAAACAGGAACTTTAGAGAGGTGTGGCAGAGCATCCTGTCCCGCTGAGGTCCCACAGCCGCAAAGACCTCCAGCTCACCACACAGCAGAACCGTAGCAGCCGGCGTCTTAAGATGCTTTGAGGGTTTATTCTCTCCTTCTTTCCTTGCTTTTTATTGAGTCTGGTTTCACTGAGTTGCCCATCGTGGCTTTGGAGTTTGAGTCTCCCGAGAGGGCACCACCCCCCACACCAAGATTTTTAGAGTATTTTGTAGACCTCATTCTGGTAGCCAAAGCTACATCTTGGTGGAGTGTTGACTACTGCTGGCATTGGGATCGGTGCTGTGTGAGCAGAGCAGAGGTCCTCGGCCTCCTTTGGACGATGGCTCCTTCAGAAGTTGGCTCTGGGTCCTTTTTCGTCATGGTGTCAGCTAGAGCTGATTTACAAAGACAGTTCAGCCGGGCTGATACCAGGATGCCTGCAATGAAGGTGGTTTGAAGTTCAGATTGTCAGTCCACCCGTGTTTCTGTTACACAGCTTCTCAGAAGTGATTTTTTTTGTAGGTGGTTTTCAAGTACACAGCAAAGACGGGTTTTCGCGGAAGAGCTGTCTGTCCACCGCTCCTTCTGTAGCGAGCATTTTGCTGGTTGCTTGTCCACTTGTCTGTTCTTCCCTCTGATTCCTTTTATGTTACTTGGATTGTATACGCCATAGATTACATTGGACTCATTTATGTTATAAATCTCTCCAATTCTGTATAATCCTGTGCCTTCTGGTCTGATTGAAAAACTGATCTTTCCGCCATACAGTCTCCTGATTGGTGCCTTGTTTGTGGTTCCTAGCCTGGCAGCACACGTTTCTCTCTGAGTCAGTTCTAAGGCCCTGTGCCTCTGTGCTTTTAGCAGAGATCAGCATTCCCTCCTGTATGTAGTAGATGTTCACTCTCGACTTTCCGTCCCAGTTTTCAAGCAGTGTCTTTCTTTTGCAGAGTGCTCTTATGCCTGCACAGCTGTTCTTCAAGACAGAAGACGGAGGCAAATACCCAGTTATTTTCAAGCACGGAGATGACTTGCGTCAAGATCAGCTGATTCTTCAGATCATCTCTCTCATGGACAAGGTGATCATGAGTCTGTGCTGGTGGGGACGTAGCCTCTGTTGGAAACTATACTTTTTCATGTTCCCAGACACAGAAGCATTTGTGTCATTTACTTACAGTGCTACGAAGCTCAGCAATCTCCACTTTACCCTGAGTAAGCTTGTCTTTGTCACTCAAGAGTGGCTCTCGGGGCAAGTGGGATTGCTCATGTTCCTTATGATCTTTATCCCGATGTTCCCAGGGTTACAGACTTAGCAATCTAATGAGCTAGATCTTTGCTAAATGCCATCGCGGCCTCTGGCTTTTAGAGAAACACGGGTCCCTTTGTCTTTGCTTCTGCTGTCTATGTCACTTTGTGTCCTGGAAGGTCAGCATGAAGCATCAGGAAGAACAATGATGTTTATTGATAGGGTATGGCATAAATAGATGAAAACCGTGTGTTGTCACCCAAACAAATTAACTCATTTTGACACTGAGAGTCAGGTAAGGTGTTACCCGTAAGATTTCCTCTTGTGTTTTCATTGTATGACTGTGCTGTGATATGTGTCCGTGAGCCTGTCTCCAGTCTTTACATTCATTTAATGTGTTTTACCTTTCAATCAAAAGCTGCTACGGAAAGAAAATCTGGATTTGAAATTGACGCCTTACAAGGTATTAGCCACCAGTACAAAGCATGGTGAGTTCATTTTCCATCATGATCCCTTTCTTTCTTCAGTTTCCCGTCCTCTTCCTTTCTTCCTCTCTCTTCTTTGTTTCACTTACCTTTTCATTTCCTCCTTCCTTCTCTCCTTCCTTTCCCCACCTCTTCCCTTCCATACTTCTCCCCCTCCTGTTTTAACTTTTCACATGGGAATAACACATCTCTCTGCCTTCTGACTGGCTGTTGATGGTATTTTCTCGTGTCTGCCTGTGTAGTCCTTTTGAGAATTTCTGTGGCCCAGAAAGGCTTACAAGAGCCATTTAGAGTATTGTCTGCTGCTTTTTACAACATGTTCATATGTATGTTTATGTATACCTTTGTGCACACATATTGTGTGCACCTACAAGTCTTCATGATACTGGATAGTTTGAGACTGGCGGATGCGTGTTGTGAGTTGTATAGATCTGCACTGTTAAGGTGAAAGCTTCGCCCCAGCTCTTGGCATCCATATACCCAAAGAGTCTGGGATGTTATGATGGAGGTTCCACCTAAGCCCCCCCCATCTCCCTTCAAACCCTGCTGCATCTCAGAAAGCCCCCCAAATCATGTCCCCTCCCCGGAGATACTCAAGACCACTCCCACAGGGTGTTTAAACATTCCCTCAGAGAACAGACTGATGGTTTTTCTGGTCTCCCTTTCCCATCTCCTCTCTGGAGGAGAGCTTTGTATCCATTAAACATGGACTTTTTCTAATTCGGCTTAATTTGGTATGATTTGGATTGCCGAGTCAGTGGAGATGCTCATCCAGGTGTAGACACTTATCAAGCACCTCCTACGTGTTTTACCTCTCCATTTCCACTCCCAGGTCTGGTGGGTGATGCTGTCCTCTTCTCATTTTCTCCTCAGAATGATCTTTCTGAAAGTACACTTGGGCTTTTTGTGTGTGTGGGTGTGCCTTTTTGCTTTCCTGCATAAGTTTATTTCTAGCTTTATTCGCTCTTGGGACAAAGAAAAAGAGGAGGCCACCTAACCAAGTTGTGACTTGCTGGCAGGCCCCTGTAGCTATGTCCAGCCATCTCTTTGCCTCTACCCCCTATTTTGTGGTCTTTGTTGTGGTGGAACCTTTGGGTTTCGCTGATGCTCTTTCTGTCTCAGGGCTTTGAGGTGTTGTGATCAGTATGTGACGGTTCGTTTCCTGTAAAGCTTCACCCATTAACACTGCTTCTTAAAAACATGACCCTAGTGCCTGGTGGCGTTTGATTCTCGTGTAACTTACAAGTCCCTCCTTGACTTTATGTTTATTCCAGCAAAGCTACATCTTTTTTTCCACATATAATTTATACTACATGTTAGAAAACTAATAAATGCTTGTTGAAGAGAGTGAGTGTAGGTTGTTTTTATTTCCTTCCGTATTTGTACTCTGCAGGCATACCCCTTGCCCACAAGTTGTTAGAATGTCAGGGCCACCAAATCTAGATTATATTTGGTGAATCCAGAAATGCCGGTGACTCATTCATTCACTTAGTTTTTTCACGTGGTTGTTGTTTAATGATCTTGTCCCAGGTTGGCGGGCCCTCTCTTCTTACTCTCCCCCCTCCCTCCCTCCCTCCCTCCCTCCCTCCCTCCCTCCCTCCCTCCCTCCCTCCCTCCCTCTCTCTCTCTCTCTCTCTCTCTCTCCAGTTCCTTTTCTAATCTAAGGAGTTTGTACATCCTTTCCTCTTGTTTTCAGGAGACAGTAGAAGATGGAATGAGTGGACACAACTTCAAATTTCTTAGAATGACTTTTAAATTTGTACTGTTTTAAAGTTAGGGAAGGATGCTGGGTTTGAGGAATATAGTCTGTTACTTTGTGTTCTTCATGTTAACTGATAGAAATTCTCGGGAGACATACAGATGAAGCAAAGCAATTGAAAATGGTTGCTCAGTGGCTCTGTGACCAATGTCAAGTTAGCACAGTGGCCTCGGATCTTCTCGCTCTGGGAACAGTATAGAATGTCCACGACGGGTGAAGGTGTGCCCAGCAGAGCCTTGGATTCGTCTGCTAATGAGCCCACAAGAACGAAACGAACGAACGTGGTGGTGTGTCAGACCTTCCTGACGGGTGCCTGACGGTACCCAGTACAATGCAGTGTACCAGATCTTCCTGATGGGACCAGGCCGTGCCCAGTGTGCTGCTCAGTGCTGTGTGTTTCTTTCCATGTAGGCTTCATGCAGTTCATCCAGTCAGTTCCTGTTGCTGAAGTCCTTGACACGGAGGGAAGCATACAGGTAAGGACGTCATATGAAATACACACAGCTGATGAAGGAGGACTGTTAAAATCAAGTCCCCTTTTCTTACTTTTTTTCTGCGTGTCTTGTTCTCTCCGGAAGTCAGAACTGTTTGTAGTTGGCAGTTATGCTGTTCGCCATTCGATGCTCAAGCCTTTAAAATGTGTGAGGTAAAACTGGGGCTCAGTATCTGTAAACAGACACAGCTCACGCCCCTCACATCGTACAAACTCAAGGTAATAGTTACATTCCGTTCCAGAATGTGGAAATACTTGAAGTTAGCCATTAATTGAACGTTTTTAGTTATTTTCAGTTTTTGTGTTTAAAACGGGTCTACACTAAAATTTTTCCTCAGACATCCTTTGTACAGTTGTGCCTATATTATGGCAAATTTTTAATTCAGGAGATGTCTTCTCCCCCACCCCCACCTTGGCCTTGCAAGGAAATTATGCTGACTTCCCCCGTAGAAGAGGCAGCTTCCACATCAATTTTCCCCATCTTTCCTTCTGACCTTTCACTGTAGCAAACAGTAGTCACGGCACCGGAGTGTGCCTTAGCGGCCTGCAGTTCCCTTAGCCGTCAGATTGCCCAGGGCTGTTCATGTCACCTGTTCCTAAAGGTGTTGATTATGTACGCTGCCTTCCACCGACGACAGTTTTCTTAAGTGTAGATTCCCCCGATGATTCTATCGCGATGTTTGCAGATAGCTTAGCAGCTCGTGCCATTTTTTTTTTTTTTAGATTCAATTGAATTTAAGTTATTTTCACCTTTTCTGTCTCCATTCCCACTTACATAAGAACACCCATCAGAAAGGTCTGGCACACTCTTCACCATGAGATTTCTAGCTTTTGGAATCTCAGTGTAGCCTTCCTTGGCATTTTCTTGCATGAGTACAAGGTTGAGCACTTAAAGGTGCACATGGTAGTCCTCCTGTGAAGTGCTCCCTCAGTCCTGTGAAGTGCTCCCTCAGTCCTCCTGTGAAGTGCTCCCTCGTCCTCCTGTGACGTGCTCCCTCACATGGCCACGCCCCTCTTGTTTGTTTGGTGTGTGTCGATCAGTGGGTAGGAATCCCCCATATTCTCCAGATCCGTCATCAGGTCATCAGGTTCCCGAGGTCTCAGGAAGCTGAAAACAGGCCTGTGGCTCAAGCGTGCTGTGGACTTTCCACCTCATGGGTTCAAGCTCCCACTGCAAACATGCAGGTCCACCGTAATGTGAAGTCACCCGCCCAGGGGTCTCCAGGCTCTTGCAGCACCATGTGTTACCAAACCCTGCCATTCTGTGACTCCAACACCATGCGTTACCGAATCCTGCCATTCCGTGTCTCCACAGCCTCACACCGTCTTCTGACCCCAGTTAGACTAGACGGTGGCCTGATGTTATCCATGACTTTGTAAGCCTAACCCATTTAAATGTCTTTTAAGAACTTTTTCAGGAAACATGCCCCAAGTGAGACTGGACCCTATGGCATCAGTGCTGAAGTCATGGACACGTACGTCAAAAGCTGCGGTAAGTGTTTCAGACAGCTGTCTCCTGTAGAGGCACACGTGAAGGAAGGCTGGCCATGCTGAGGATGCTGGGGTGGTTCCCATTTACAGAATGTTAAGATGGAAACGTCCCCCAATAAAACAAGTACAGGGTGCAAGGTGTGAAGGAAATGTTGGTATTTTGAAATGATGGAGGTGGCCAAGTGTGAGTGCTGCTCATCGTAACAGGTTCAGGCTTGCCCTCCTCAATTTCAGTTTGCCACTTGGCCGTCTTAGAGCCTAGTGAGTCCCGCTGAAGTCTCAATTTGAGTCATTATCATTGAGTGAAGTGTGCAGGAAACCCCAGTCAGAAACAGTTATTTCTGTTGACATCAAGCAAAACCAACAGATCTGTTTGGACAGCAACTCTTGTGGCCTTTGAAACTATCTGTTCCTGGGAGGGAGGGAGGGTGGGAGGGAGGGAGGGAGGGAGGGAGGGAGGGAGGGAGGGAGGGAGGGAGGGAGGGAGGGAGGGAGGGGGGGGAGGGAGAACCATGCTTTCTGGTTTCTTTATCATTTCCTGTCATGTGTGCCAGTCACCGTGCAGCTTCTGTTCCTAAGAACTCGTTTTCATTTCTTTAAGGTAGTATTTTGTAAAGGGATTTATAAAGTAAAGGAGGGATTAAAAAGAGATGATACCGGGTGGGGCTGGAACGTTGACTAAAAAAGCAGACTGACAGCCGGGAGGCCAGCATGGGACTGATCCAGACCCCCGAATGTGAGAGTCAGTGAGGAGGCCTGGGCAATCTATGGCGCCCTGAGCAGTGAATCAGTGTTTATCCCTGGAATACTAACAGACATCGTGTGTCCATAACACAAAGAGGGATGCTCTCTCAGCCTGGACTCTTAGGGGAGTGCCTGGACCCTGCCCTGAGCGAAATGGCAGACTCTAGATATCCCCTGTGTGGAAGGAAATGGAGATAGGGTGGGAGGCTGGGAGGGGATTGGGGGGTGCGGGAGGAGGGGAGGGAGAGGGAACTGGGATTGACATGTAAAACAGCTATTTAAAATTAAAATAATAAAACAAATGTAAAAAAATAAGCTAGTTATAGTTACAGTTTATCTTGTATGTGTTTATTTAGCACATACAACCGTTAGCATATCTGTTTCAAATGAGAAATACTAAATTGATACTTGAGTTAAAGTTCACAAAGCTTAATTTAGCTTCTGAAACTTAAGAAAATCAAAAACAAAAAACTTGATTAATCTGACTAAACTTTTTCAAGATTTGTTGCTGGAAATACTAATATCTCTTGGTGTTCAGGACAATAACCAAGTCAGAGACACGGAGGCCGCAGCTTCCTTAGTTAGTGGGGAAATCAGAGACATTGAAACTCAAGGGGAATCATGACTAACTGTCCAGGGAGGCTGCAGTTTCCTTAGTGTGGAAATTGGAGATGATAAAAACCAAGTTAAAATTAAAGTAGTGTGGATTACTTTTATGGTCAGTGGAGTGTCTTTCCCAACTTGTGGTGTCTTCCAGCTGGCTACTGTGTGATTACGTACATTCTTGGAGTTGGAGACCGGCACCTGGATAACCTTCTGTTAACAAAAACAGGTAAAATCAGTAACATCAGAAGATGTATGTTTAGCTGGAGAGTGGTGGTGCATGTCTTTAATCCCAGCACTCAGAAGGCAGAGAGAGGGAGGGAGGGAGGGGGGAAAGAGAGAGGGGGGGAGGGGATGTATTTTTGTATGTGGTGCTTTTTCCTTTATCCTAGAATCAACTTACTAACAAAGTAGGTTGCATACCAGTTGATGAGGTATAGGTTGTTTAGAATGCATTTCTTTTCTGTGTGTGTATGTGGTTGTACATGTGCTATGCTGTATGCATGGTTGTCAGAGGACAACTGCCAGGTACCGGTTTTCTCTGCCTACCATGCTGATTCAGGAGGTCCAGCTGAGGTTCTGGGACTGTGTGGAAAGTGCTTTTAGCTGTTGAGCCATCTCACTGGCCCTAGATTCTCCTTAAGGAACTTAACAGCAGGGACACTTCGGGAGAAGCCCAGACTGAGTAAGGGCACTTGAGCAGCGAGCCTGGGAATCGCCCCTACCTCGTGCAGAGCTTCTGTAGAAAGCAATGCATACAGACAGCTGGACTCGTGAGCAAGTCTCTCTTTAGCAGCTGTCTCGTGGTTTCCTTTCTCCATGGAGTACAAGCTGTGGTCACTCCTTTCTCCCTTCCTCATGATAACTTATTAACCCATCTTGTTTGCTTGTTCTCGGGGTTTCTTTCCTCAGCCTCCCAGTACTGGGCTCCCAGCTGACAGCACCCGCCTCGTCACTGAGTGCAGTGTGTAATCCTGCGCTCTAGACTTCGCTCTGTGCCTTCCCTTCAGCGTGGAATGGCCAGCTGCTTCCTTGAAGTCCAGTGACACAGGCGCAGACATTCTCTATAGTTTTGCCTCCCTGCAGCCTCGCGCCTCCCCTCCCTTCACTCTTGCTAGGCGGTCTGTTCCTCAGCTCCGGGGCCATCAGTAGCATGCCAGTTTTGCACTCTCACTGTCCCTTATTGAAGCCACCAGCTCATCTTCTGTCTGCATGTCACAGCACTCCGGCCACAGGACAAGTGCCCTTGCTTCCTCTTTCTGGAAAGTTCTTTGCTGGGATCTGTGCAGGACAGACTTCGGTTATTGTGGGGCTGAGTTAGCGTGCTCTTATCCAGCCTGTCATTGTTTGGTCCATAGCAGCATGTGCCTTACCCTGTCACTCTATACTTGTTGCTTCTTTCTGTCAGGGTGCAAGGCCTTGAGAGTGGGAGCCAGCGCTTGGCTAAGTGAACAGGAAGGTGGGGTTGGGGTAATGGGTAGCTAATCGTCCTGGCTGTTTGTAGCCCTTTCTTTGAATTAAATAATCCAAGTGTTTGTACCTTTTTTGCAGAATCTAAGTTTTCAAATTACTGTTTAAAGCCTTCTTTTCTCATAAGCAGATGTTTCTGCCTTTTTTGCATTTTCTCGTTGTCACTGAGGTTCTTGGCTAGTTTACCACTTTAGCAAAAAGATATTTGAAAGTGTCATGAAGTGTTTGAGAACATTCTCATTTGGAAGAATGTTGAGTGAAGCCTTCCGGCCAGCCTGGTTCCAAGAGCCTCATCAGTCCCAAATGAACACACAGGAAGCTATATTAATTATTAAGCTGTTGGCTGTTTGTTTCTTTCTTACTGGCTAGCTCTGACTTAAGTATTTAACCCATCTAAGTATTTCTCTTACCGGAGAAAAGGTCCGGACCTCTTACTTCCATGGCGGCTACATCGTGACTCCCTGTGTCTCTCTTTCCCAGAATCCTCCTGGACTCCTAGTCCCACCTACCTTGCTTCCCTATTGGCCAACAGTGCTTTATTGACATATACACAGGACTTCCCCTTCAGAAGAAGCTCCCTTGCGTCTGTCCTTTTGCTCTTCCGGAACTACAGTAGCTCCCGACACTCATGCTTTGAGCTGTCTCAGCCGACTAGACTGCCGAGCAGCTGTCTTGCCGGCACACCTCATGCTGCCTGTCTCTGGGGTTTTATGGCTTTTTGTTTTGGTAGCTTTTGATTTTTTTTTTTTGAGAGAGAGAGAGAAACCAGGAAGTTGGGTGGGTAAAAAATGGTAAGGAGGGAGAGAAAAGAATATGATCAAAATTATTGTATGAAAAAGATTAAGAAGAAAAGACATGAAACTCTTAGAAGAAAACTCAGAGGAAAAAAAAACTTGAATAAGATAAAATAGCAACTCCTATATATTGTGGGACATGATCTCTGTGGTATATGTTGATTTTTTAAGATGAAATTTGAGAGGATATCCACGTTGGTTTTTTTGTTGTTGTTTCCATAGGTCTCATTGTTGTAGAAATCAGAGTGTGAATTTTACAGTTTTAAGCCTACATCAGTTTCCACCAGAGGGCGCTTCAAGTTTGCCTTCCTATAACAAACTTCTAAGAAATGTTTGTGAGGAATATTCTTTTTCTTTCTAAAAAGTCGGGTGTTTTTTTTTTGTTGTTGTTGTTGTTGCTGTTTTGTTTTGTTTTGTGTTTAAGTGGGGGTGGGTTTCAAGATAGTTTATTTTCTATGTAGGCTTGGCTGTCCTGGAACTCACTCTGCAAGGCAGGCTGGCCTCGAGCTAATAGAGATCCACCTGCCTCTTCTTCCTGAGATCTGGAACTAAAGGTGTGCACCACCACTACCCAGCTAAGGTTGTTTGTTTGTTTAATTCATCTTCCCAGTAATTCATCCTGCAGTAACCATTTTAAGTCTTCTTTACTAGGGAAAGTAATAAAAAAATAAGTATAGGCAAGCATAAGTCTAGCTGGGTATGTTAACTCACACCTGTACTCCCAGCACTGGGAAAGATGAGGCAGGTGACCAGTCACTATAAGGCAAGGCTGCCTGCTCTACAGTGAGAGCCTGCCTAAAAACTTCCAATAAATAAATAAGAATACCAGAGAAATGCTTTCAAAATTCTTGGTTTAGGGCACAGATGGTAATGTTTCAAGTTATGTTGTCTATAAATAGTGTGTGTCTGAGTTTTAACAAAGTGAATTTGACTTAGTTCATTGCAGGAAGTATATTTCAGTTGTTTTATTTTAAAATGCCTCATTTTAACCATCGTCCCTTGCGTGTTTTAGTCCATTATGCCATGAACACAAATCTTGCACTGTATTAGAAGCTGAGAACTTTGGGTTCTCGCATATGGCTGCCATGTCTCAACAACTGATGTGGAATGTCTGTCTGCTCTGTTCTCGTTGCCAGCATAGCACAGTTCAGGGTGACACTGTGCTTTGGTAGTGCTGGCTGTGCAAAGTCATCAGAGGTCTTCTGTTACCTCTGTGAAGTTCCCTGATGTGAGAGGTGGCGCTTCAGGTTTAACTCACTGGTGCCCCCAGGGAGTACAGATGGAAGGGACTCTAGGCATGTGTAAAATAAGGTGGTCCAGTGAATATGAATAATTTAAATGATTAAAGGTAATGTGATGAAATGTAAGCCAGAGCTCCCTAGATTTTCCTTTCTTGGTTTGAGTTCTTTTAGCTTTTTGGGTCTTTGCTTAGTTGAGCAGCAGAGGGTGCTATGTATCCACCATGAAATTGAAGACCTTTATCAGAAGGCCTTGTAGTCGGTTAATGATGTCTTTCCTTTTTTAAGAGATCTGGAATGGTGTTTTACTTGTTACTGAATTGGTATACCATCTGGAGAAGCAGGAAGCTACAAATTTAAACTGCCATAGAGTGATGGGGATTTTTGTTATTCAGGGCTGATGTCTATGGACACAACCATAGCTTAGTCATGGTAGAACTTGTTTTAGTTACTTGTCTGTTGCTGTGGTGAAACACTATCTTGCTGTAGTTTCAGAGTGTTAGTCCGCGAACATCAAGGCAGGGAGCATGGTTGCAGGCAGGAGCAGACGGGCCTGGCACTGGAGCTAAGAGCTTACAGCCGGATCCGCAGTCAGCAGACATTGGGGCAGGGCCTGGGCTTCTGAGCTTCTCCTAGAGACACTCCTCCTTCAACAAGGCCACACCTCTTAATCCTTCCCATACAGTTTCACTGATACAAACATGAGCCTATGGGTGAAATTCTCATCACACCACCACAGGACTCAAGTGAACTGATGCTTGAAATTACCATAACTTTTGGTAAAGAAGTATTTATTTCTGGGCTGTAGCTGGAATGAAGAAGGCCTTGGCTTGTTAGATGCAAACAGACACATTGAGAGTTCCTGGTACTAGGTAGTGCCTGGGCTTTGGGATAGTAACAATGGAATATGACTCTTTATTTTGGACTCTTACTGGCTCTTTGTGAGTTGAGGAGGGGAGAAAGATGAGTTGTAGTGTAGTCTTGAGTGTAGTAGCAACTGCTTAGGGAGTGTGTGCTCCGCTGTAGGCTGCAGGAGCCTCGTGACATATTACAAAGCATGCTTCCTTCTCTGATGACGTGCGGGTGTCTCAGACTGTAACTCCTGTCTTTGGTTCACTTGTACCATCTAACCAGAAGTCGCCATAAAACACAAGCCCAGTTCCTACATGACCTGACCACTTCTTTATTTAGGAAAGGATAGGGTGGTGACCCAGCAGAAGAAAGTTGGCTTTTCTGTGTAACTGTTTCACCGTAACAACCGTTATTCTGTGAGTCTCCAGGCAGTTAGGATAAGCATTCCTGCTCCCATGACCTGCTCCCTGTGCTGTGAGAGCGGTCTCCCAAGCTTGATGTTTGCAGCCGAGCTGTTGTGAACACTCTCCTTGACTCTTTTCCCTAAAAGTTCCTTCTTCTGATAAAGATGTCTAAACTTGCAGAAAGGGAGGTGGCATCTGTGTTTAATTGTCCTAGTTGCTGTCATCGGTGAGTCTCAGGTACAGTGGATTCTGGCTGTTTGGGCATCTTTAAAGCGGTTGTTATATACACTTTATTGTCATTTGTAGCTATTTATCCATTCCTTTGTTAGTTTATTGGGGTGCGTGTGGAGGTCAGAGAGCAGATTGCTAGAGTCTGTTCTCCCCTTCCCCACGCCGTCCCGGGATGAAACTCGCATCACCAGTCTGGCAGCAGGCGCCGCTTCCTGCCCATCGCTGTGCCAGGAGCAAGATGTATTTTTAAGAGAAGTTCAGAGTTTTCATTTTTGCATGTTATTTGAAGTATTTAAAATAAATATTTATGAGCTGCTTTAAAAGACCTGATTATTGGATGATAAAGGGCTTAATTTAATTTTGAGTAAATCCTATCATTTAAATTGTCCCCCCTTAGAACGAGTTAAGATTTAATCATTTCTCCCTTAATAGTTTTTGGGTTTTTTGTTGTTGTTGTTGTTTTCAATTTTTCTTGACCCTCTGCCGTGTGTGAGATACACACACACACACAGGGAGGGAGGGAGGGAGGGAGGGAAGAGAGTGTGGTAGTGGCAACTGACCTTTAGAGCATTTACCGTGTGCTAGGTACCGTGTTACAGTATCTCTTTTGATTCTACAGTTACAATTTAGAAAGAGGCACCAGGACTGGTTGCCAGCGGGTATGTTTCTTTTGTTCTTTGGTTAGTTATACTCCTGATTCTAAGGCCTGTTCCTCCAGTGACAAGGACCCCAGAGTTTATAAGCATAGAGGCTCTGTGTCCATCACTGGCTCGTGTCTTCTGGGGACACAGTGACTGTGCTGGCACACAGGCGTAGCCAGCGTCTTAACCGGGAGTCACTGTGGAAAATGGATTTGCACAGCTTCCCTTGTGCTCATGAACAGTAAATCCAGTCCTCCAGGGCTGGTGCCCTTGATGGGAAAAATAAGGTGGTAATACATTTCTACGTGAAAAGTCATATTGGATTCCAGACAGAAGACCGAATGGGCAGGTTGCCCTAAAGAGGGTTTAGTTAGCTTTGTAAGCCAGTGAATTCCTTCCCAGAAGCTGTTCTGAGGCAGGACTTGACAACACTAAGTCTCAAGTCTCTGCTCTAAGAATTCCGTCTAGAGCATCCTTGTTTCATGGCATCTTGTAAATCATTAGGTGTCTCATGGATTGCGTGGTGAATCACCACCAAGCAGAGTGATCCTATTCCTGTGTGTCTGCCCTGAGATTATGATGTGGGACTTTCCTTAGAGGAATTGCAGCTGTGTTCAGCTCTTGCAAGTCCTATGTACAGTGTTCAGATCCCGGTCTACAGCCAGGGAGCAGAGAGAGTAAGGCCACAATATGATTTGAAATTAGGATTGTTATTTTACAGTCATAATTTCCTAACAATCGGGGTTTCATTTTAGGAATGCTAAGATCAAAGTGACTATCTGCTTTATAAAGAGCAGTTCATTCACCCTGACGAACAAGAGTTTCTCTGCTGATTCCTTTCTGAGCTAACCAGATGTTTGCTCTTTGATGATACAATTCTAAATATGAGATAAAAAAATTAAATTCATATTAATTGGGATGGCTTTAAGCTTACTTTTTTTATTTCCAATAATTGAATTACACTGTTTTGAAGGGCACATTTAAAAGTATAGAATAATTTCATGAATTGTATAAAACGTCTCCATGCTGGTTTATAAAGATAATTGTGGAAATGACTGAGTTTCTCTTGCATCCAGGCAAACTCTTCCACATAGATTTTGGGTATATCTTGGGCCGAGATCCAAAGCCCCTCCCTCCTCCAATGAAGCTGAATAAAGAGATGGTGGAAGGGATGGGCGGCACACAGAGCGAGCAGTACCAGGAGTTCCGAAAGCAGTGCTACACGGCCTTTCTCCACCTGCGAAGGTGAGGGCGCTGTAGGTGCTTCACGGAGCACCAGAGCCAAGTGTGGACACGTGTGTGTGCCGAGGGGAGGGGGAGGGGCAAGTACTGGCGCCTCACAAAACACTAGAGCCGGTTTCGGGAATGTTTGTTTACTGACTGACCTTTCTTGGAAAGACATAATGGCATTTTTCAGTATACATTTGCTACATATAGTGATAAACCCAGCAACAGAGGTGAGCTTGCTTTCCCTCTAATTATTACATCTGTAACCTGTCAGTTAAGAAGCTGCCGTTATGAGAGACTAGGCTAGCCAGGAGCAGTTTTACCACATCCTTTCTCCCTGGAGACGGTGTCCAGCAACACAGTAGCCACTGCGGTGGCCTAGGTACAGGCGTGATACTTCAGTCATTGTTTTCTAGCACTTTCTCTACCTCAGTTTTGGATGCTGCTCAAGATTATTCAGAATTTTCATCTTTTGTCTGCCCCGTGCACGGCTCATGTGCTTTGAACAAGGCTGATTTTGCTCTGTCCTTTTTCTTTATTGTCACTCTGTGCCTCTTTTATCGTGTTTTGATTAGAAAGATTGGATGACTCAAGTTATTAGGAAGAAAGATATTAGGAACATGAACACAACCCTGACAGTTAGTCAAAGGTGACAGGATCACTGAACTCTTACAGTATGTTCCACCTAACTATGCAAGAAGAATTTTCCTAGTGCAGCAGAAATCCTCATGTAAGGAAGGTATGCCCGCATTCCATCCCTGGGTAGGGGTGGTGTGGCCATCCTACAGGGCTTGTGCCTATAACCAGGTATTATGTCATCTACACATAGCAACAGTTTTAATTTTGAATTGCATGTATTCTCTCTTGCCTTATTCTAGTTGATAGAGCAGCTAATACTAGTCTAATACTAATTTAAATAAGATCACTGAAAGCAGGCTTCCCTGCCTTGGATCCTGTTATAGCATTTAGTGTTTTGTAATTCAAAATAATGTTAACTGTAATATTTTGATAGATGTTTCAACTTTGTCTGCCGCACAAATGGCCCAGTGTTAAGGTTTTGACCACAGGGTGGCACCCCTGGGAGGTTCTATAGACTCTCAGGAGAAGAGGTCGTAGGTGATTAGTGCTCTGCCAGGGTGCCCCGAGGAAGGGGACAGGCAAGAAGTTACAGATTGATAGCTGCAGTGATGCCTGCTTCACTCAAAGCGGAAGGAAAACAGTGTTTTATAGACTGCTGGTGGAGCATTGGCAGTAGGTAGAGAGAGAAAATAAAAGCAAGTTATTAGTGCAGAGCTGAGCTCACATTCCTTACTACAAACAGCATCACAGAGTAACTAACTTAAGTGTGAGTGAATGCATACATTGTCTGAAGGAAAAGCTGGGGTCTTCATATTACACTTTCTAGGTCTCGTACCATGGAATGTTAACGTTAGAGTTTCCATCTAATAATGGCATTCCCATCGTTTCAGAAAATATATCCTTTATAGATAAGAACAAGGAGGGAATACACTCTCACTGCAACTAGAGTTTTGTAACATTGAATATTAGTCTTTTTAGATGACAAGTGTATGCTTTCTTATGACTACCTAGGTTGTCATTTAACCATGGCTAAATGAATGGAAGGGAAATAATACCATCCCATGAGTCACTCATGAGTGACTCCAAGGAGTTGAACAATAACTTCAGGAAGTACAGTGACTAGTTGCATATTTACTCATTCTGTCTCTAACTTTGGATTAATAGTCATCACAAAGTTACAGTTGCCACCTCTTTTGGAAGTGTTCTTGGTAAGGTAAAGAATCTAAGAGTCTAGCTCATTTTTCTTTCTTGCTCTTTTAGGTATTCAAATCTGATTTTGAACTTGTTCTCCTTGATGGTTGATGCAAACATTCCAGATATTGCTCTTGAACCAGATAAAACTGTAAAAAAGGTAATTTTGTACTTCCTTTTTATATATAATGCAGTCCATGTTTCATCTATAAAAATGAGTAAAGACTTCAGCAATGCCTGCCCTCTTTTTCCCAGCCCATAGATTATCAACAGAATCAAAAGAGTCCTAGTGTCCTATGTTCGCATTTCAGAAGCAGCACTCTCCCAAGTGTCCTGTGGCACCGTGTTCAGTTCTGTCTGGACCCACAGTGTGAGCCTGGCTCACTGTGGCAAGTGCTGCTCTTCGTCCCCAGATGGGTGGCTCCCCTTTGACGTTTCCAGCAAGGAACCTGACCTGGTGGTCGCCATGCTGGGGATGCCATGTCATGGAGCTGTCCTTGTGTAGGTGTCCCGCTAGTACCCTCTGTTTTGGATTTTACTGGATCCCTGTAGAGTCCTGCCTTTTGTTTTCTTTGTCAACAGCCTATAGGGATAACTAATGAAGGGTGCCGCGTGTGAGCAGTTACTCTGCTGTCTTAACTAGAATTCCAACAAGAATGGGAGGAAAGATGGTGGATTTGAGTACTTCCCTTTAAGCTACTTTCTGGTAGCTGCTTCTGATGAGAGCAGATGGAAGGCAGTTTAATGTATCCAAAGGCAAAAGATAATGGTGCATGTCAGTATCCAACCTCCGAGGAGACTGTGCAGCATTTTAACTGTAGACGTATAAAATCTCTGAAAGACGGTAGCATTCTCCACAATAGAGCTGCTCGGGCATTACAAGTCGTGACTCACACCACATGTAACCCAGTGGACTTGGGAAAATGAAGTTCAGCTATGATTGAACAGGAAGGAGGCCAGTTCTTTCCTTGGGTTTTACGTCTTGTACAGGCTAGGAGAAGAATTTGAGTAGAGAGGTTATTTTATTTAGCCATTTAAGAAAATAAACTCTTCAAGGTTTCCTGTTTTAGTCAGGCAGATGGTACACTGGTCTTTCCATTTCTTCTTTGGTGTGGTCAGCAATATTCAATGAAACTTCTTTTTGTTTCGAAGGAGAGAAATTGTTTGTGTGTCCTACTTTTTTTTGTCTTTTGAATTTGCCTGTACTGAAGCCAGGCATCAGGAAAGGTAATTGACTGATGGAAACCCTTGCGCTCTGAAGGAGGCCTGCCCCAGGCTTCACGTGACACCTGCTCCATTAAGAACATCTTGTAGCTGTTTGAAACTCATTTCTCGTATCTCCCTCGTGCTCAGTCTTCCCCCGCTGTGGGTGTTCACAAGTCCTTCGGGAAATTTCTGGCAGTGTTTATCAGACAGTGGCTTCTTTGACCCGCTGAGCCATGCATCGGCAGCGGTTTCTTTGGCCAATTCTTGTTTTCCTTGCATCCTCGGTTGTGCCACCACTATTTCGGGAAGTCACACGGCTCTCTCACCAGCCGTCCTTACAGCTCTGCGTTAAAGCTCAAAGCAATTCCCTTCATGGAAAGTGAGCCAGAAAGCAAATTTGTTGGATATTTTTTTAGACTAGTAATTCCTACCACTTTATTTCAGTTAAATAGAACTTTAAAAGGCATTTTGCCATATTTTTTGAAACTGTATTTCATAACAGATGTCTTTGCTTTCTGATCTTTTATCACAATGTGAAGTATCCTGTTTGGATGTAGATTTAACACTGTCATAACAGTACTTGAAATGTATGTTGCAGCTGACTAAATTTTGTTGTGTGTTAGTTGATTTGATTCTTTCAAAAGAAGGAAACTTTATGCTTCAGTGAGGCATCATGGCCTCCACTGCTTCATCGTGTTCCTGATGGGCAGCTTGCAAGCTGGGAGAACACAGAGGTGTGCATGAGGTGGTTGGTTCACGGGAGTGCAGGTCAGGTGGCCTGACAGGCCCTGACGTTCGCCGTGCTTCTCTGCTTAGAGGAAGCAACGAGCTCTACAGGTCTTTGGGAAATGATTCCTTGCATGTGGCATTTTTGTTACTCAGGTTCATTTGCTTGAACACATGATTGCCCTAAACTGTGAAATGGAGTTAACCGGGCCCAACCCCTAAATATGGACCTTGTCCTTTAATCCAGCAGCAGCAATAGGAAGGTCTCCCTGGCGTGGCCTTCAAGAATTCGCTGATCTTCATCTAAAGTAAATCCTGAGACCTTCCGTTCAGAAAGCCCGCCACAAACTGGGGGACAAGTGTGCTGCATGAGACTGGGAACAGCAGACAGCTTTTGTTATGTTTTCCTTCATCAGACTTTGATGAAATATACGCAGTTCCCCTAGTTTCACTGGATTTTCATCTTCTGAAGGAGAGCTCTAATGTTACCTAAATATCCACTAAGAGATAAATGTGTGCACCTTTCTGTTAACGTGCACAAAGGTCACCGCTTGAAGCCCGTGTTAGGGAACTCTTGTTCCCTGCAGGCCAGGAGTTAGTGCACCATCATCAGCATTGAGCATCAGGAGTTAGCTTGTTGTTAGCTGTTGGGTCAGTGTGCCAAGCAGAGCTCAGTTATATGAGGGGCTCACTCAACACTGTCCTGATACTTTCAAGCTAATTGCTTGGAGCAAAGACTGCCAGATAGCTTAATCAATAAAATTACAGTTTGATGAAGTCAAGAATTTTGTGAATATGACCAGAGCTAGTGAATTCACTAAGATTCAGCAATGAGCAAATCGGTCCTATTAACTTATTGCATAAGTATAATATGTGTTTTATAAATATTTAAATGTACATGTAAAGTACTGAAATCATAGGAAAATAGACACTTTTGGGCTGGCAAGATAGTTCATTATGCAAAAGTGCTTGTCACTGAGCCTGATGACCTGAATTTGATCCCCAGAACCCATATGATAGAAAGCAAAGGTGTTTTCCTAAACGTTATGCAGTGACTTGCACAGTGTGCTTGATGACAGTAAACAAACACATGAACACACAGTGGAATGCTGGGTCAAGAGGACTCCAGTTCCAAGGCCGTCTGGGTGCAGAGCAGAGTCTGTGCCAGTGTGGGCTACATAATGGAAAGATGTCTCAGGAAGAGATGCCTTCCCGTTCCCTGCCTCGTTGACTGCACGGTGTCTGTGAGCTGCTGCCTGCTCGTGAAGTCACGGCCTGGTGCCTGTGTGATGATAATAGTAGAGTCCGTTTCCCCGTGCTCAGACATTGTAGTAGGAGAAACAGACCGCAGACAGGATAAAGTGAATGAAAGTTCCTACTTCCTGGATAATGGGGGTGGTGCGGGGGAGAAAGGGAAGCGGGCGCGTCTTGAGTTGGCAGTGCTGTTGGGAATTTCAGCGTAGCTGAGAATGGGAAGATGCACGCTCGCGATGAGAAAATGTGGAGGAAACTTTTCATACGCGGGCAGCACTGAAACAAGACTTGTTAGTGTGGAAGCACGCGTCACTTGACACAGAGTGTGTGCTCCCTCACAGTCCTTGGCCTTGCGACTAGAGTCTGCCAGGAGTTTCAGATCTTCCTAGCTTTTTAAAACGTGTCTTCAGAGGGTTGGAGGGGGAGGCACTAAAGAGATGTTTCATGGATCCACATATAAACATGACCACTTAACAGCCAGTGCCTTGTCATTCCTGTTCCCTTTATTTCAGTAATTAAAAAGAAGCCTCTAAACTGTGGTGCCAAGTTTATGCAGTAATTTAAGGTACTGTTTTCTATTGGGGAATTTAATGGAGACATTCTTTGTCTAAATTGATTTCCTATTAAACTTTCAAACAATGAAATTATATATATTACAAGAAGCTATAAATAGCAGACTGTATTTGTGGCAACCTGTAAAATTCAATTACCCATTGTTCCCGTCGGATGACCATGGCTCCTGTTGCATCAGCCTGTGGATGTCATGTCCGCTCCCATGCAGTCTGGGACACGGGCTTTTGTCTGCTTTAGCAGCGGCTGCATGTCTTATTGAAGCAGTTCCCTGTGGTGGTTCTGTAACTGCAGCCACGGGCGGGTGGCGTTTGTTTGTTTGTTTGTTTGTTTTAAGTTACTCCTTTAAATCCTCTTCTATTACACCTTGGAATTTTGGTTTTGTATTCTAATACAGCACAAATAAATGAACTCAGAAGGGAAATATTAAGTGAAAACTTTTCATCTGGATAGGTCAAAGGTGTTCCTCTGTTGTAGTTACTTTTATGATTACATTATCAAGAAGTTGCTACGGAGAAAACATTCTGCTTTGTTTGTCTGCTGTTTGTTTAATTTTGGGATAGGGTCCTATGTAGCTAAGGCTAGCCTTTAAGTCATGACTCTCCTGCCTTCATCTTCCAGAGTCACGTCCAACTTAACCTGCCTTTCTAAGAAGAATTTAATGAGGGGAAAGTCTGCATTTGATTTCATTGAAAGCTGCTGCTGTGTGGGAGATCCTAAACATTATTTTTATTCGAAGGTCTTATATTAGCTTGTATAAATTGAACACTCAAAAAATACTTAATTTAAACAAAACCATTATGCTTCTTATAAAAATGTATTTCAGGGCTTTATTGTGGGAATTGTCCTGCAAGTTTAAGAGTTGTATAGATAGATAGATAGATAGATAGATAGATAGATAGATAGATATCATTGGATATAGCAAACCTAGGCTGTATAATTCTGGTGTGGTACAGAAACCTTAGGCCAATCTACGGGCTTTATTTTATTAAATTCACATTTAACAAATCATTCTCTGTAAGTAGGCTAAATTGGATTGTTAGCAGGAGCAGGGACAATTGCACCATCGTTCAAAGGTGGGAGTTTGTATGGCTGGTACAGGTTAGGGGAGGTAGAATGGCTCCGAGGTTGCTGGGTACAGCATGTGGAGGGGGTGTGCACATTACATGTGGAGGGGGTGGGCACATTACATGTGGAGGGGTGTGCATATTACATGTGGAGGGGGTGTGCACATTACATGTGGAGGGGTGTGCATATTACATGTGGAGGGGTGTGCACATTACATGTGGAGGGGGTGTGCATATTACATGCCGGTGATACAGCATGTGGAGAGGGTACATGTTACGTGCAGGTGAAGGCACTAGGCTGCAAAGTGCATTACACTGAGGACATGAGCACGTAACTCAAAAACAAGCAGAAGCCCAAGTGACACTGTCTCTTCTGCTTTCGGTGACTGGGACTGTTGTGACTGGATGCTAGGACTTTGCAGTGTTACAGTCACCAGGGACACCACCAGTATGTGGCCCGTTGGTGACTAGAATGTCTGCAGCACACAGCCAAACCTGTTTTGGCTCACTTTCTCTTTTAGATCATTTGAGCATCTGGTGGTGGTGAAGTAGACTCCTCAAAATGTAATTACCCACTGTGAAAATGTTACTGCTGGCTAAGTGAGTCTTTCAGAGAAGCTGTGTTTCTTGAAAATGCAGAGGTTGAAATGGGTCTACTGTGGCACAAGATTGCGAGTGGACCTTCAAGAATCAGGCAAAGTGGGAAATGGGAAACATTTACCCTGGATGCTTAGATGTTCTGATGTAACACCTGTACTGAGTGTTAGAGTCCCCAGCTCACAACAGTGAACAAGAATGCAGGTGGCACTTGGAAGGCAGGGTACGGATAAATAGCATTGAGTTTCCAGCCTCATGCACAGGCAGAGTGCCCGTGTAACTTTGAAAGACAAACAGCAGTGCAGAAAATTCTCAGTTTGCTGCTTTTTGCTTCAAGGCATTTTCCAGATTATTCTCATAAGTATATGTAAGTAAACATATTTAAAACTGGTGCTCTGTCTACCTACTAGGATGAATTTTAACATCAACACAGCAGAATCTGCAGTCTCTATTCCATGCCATCCCGAATGTGTATGTTAATAGGTCTATTGACAGATAAATGTGATGCACATCCAGCAAACACAAAAGCAATGAGAGGATGCATGCTGAGGTGACACATGTCCCTGAGAAAGCTGAGCAGTTGCTATTGCTCATGTGAACGAGCTTAGTGGAAACACATGAGTGGGGTCTGGGCACGCGGGTGCTGCAGAAGACCTAATGGGAAGGACAAGGGAAGCTGTAGAGCTGGAAGAGTGGACCTAGGAAAAGGTACCTTACACAGCCATGACAGCCGTTGAATGCAGGGCGGTTTATGAAGGTTACATAGTCTGGAGAGCAGGGGCTGTAGCTTGACGAACTAGCAGAAGGTAGAGGGCAATGAGGGAACCTAGCGCAAGTCAGCGAACGCAGTACCAACTGACCGCATGTGTGGAAGCCCCAAAGAAAACGTTTCCTCTATGGTAAAGAATATTCTGTGCCAGTTACATGCTTGCTCTCTGCAGTATAGGCACTTGACTTAACTACACAAACTTGGGTAAGTTAGGCTAGAGTTTTATTTATGCTTTCTGATTTTTTTCTTATGAAATCGTACCATAGTTGTCAAACATCCTGCCTCAGAGAAATCTAAGGAGCGTGGTTTTGTTCTGTGGGGTCAAACTGAGAGACCAGCTTATCGAAGACGAGCCCTCCGCAGTACCAGCCTGTCCCTAAGTTTGCATCTCCTTTTCTTTGGCCTCTGACCTGGCCCTGGAGTCAGGCCACGTGCCGCACTCCACACGCAGCTCCCTGCGGCTGTGGGTTGCATTTCCTCTCATTCTCCTTCTCAGATAGTGTTCTGTAGCTAAATCCTATAAATAACTCCCCATAGCAGACCTAATAAACTCGGCAAGACACCAAACCCAGACCAAAGAAACAGGAAACAGGAGAGTAGCTGCCAGCTTAGGAAACTAGCTGGGAAAGGGCGGTTTGCAGGAGAGGGAGGCAGCTAAGCAGGAAACAGGGTGAGTTTGATGACTGCACAGTGTTGTTAAAATAAAAGGAAATACAAAATGAAGTGGTTTGTCTGTCTACTTGGAAATCCTACTTCCTTCTGTACTACCTTGAAGTAGTATATGTGGGTTATTTATAATAGAGGAGTAAAGTGCAGTGATTTTTGTGCAGGGACATCAGATTATTGATTATTGGAAGAACATACCTCTTTACCAGTTAAGGGCTTCTATGGAAGCTTCCAACATTCTTGGTTTCTGAATATAGACATTGTCTTTAAGCAAGGCCATCGCAGAGTCAAATAAGAGGTTGTGTACTGTTTATTCAGATTTTATCCAAAATAGTTCTTCAGTCGCACTGGTTTCTATAATTTGAGGAAAAACACACATGCATATGTATGCATTCATGCATGCACTCATTTTTCTAGTACTTAATGCTATTGAAAACGAACTATGCCTTAAAATATAGCCTTAAAAAACCCTGTGTTTGGACATTATAGACCCATTGAAATAATCCCTTACTAAGATCAGGGGCTGCTGTGAGAAGGCTTTTTTAGAACATTGCTTTTTGTGAACTATGACCATCAAGGTGTGTGCACGTCAGGAGTTGTTAATATGATCTCACCTTGCTGTGTCTGTTTCTGTCACTCAGTGCTCTTGAGATAACCAGAATGCTCAAATATAAAGTGCAACTTTGAGCTAAAATAATGGCATTTCTGTTCTGAAAAGGAGTCAGTGTCTGTGACTGGCAGCGAGGCATTCAGAGTTCCTTATTGGCATAACTCTTGGCATCTTGATGATGTCTGTGGGTTTGACTCTGACTCTGCAGAGCATATCCCTGACTTGTTCCATTAAAAGGTTGATGCTGTCTGGTTCTCTCCAGGTCCAGGATAAGTTCCGTTTGGACCTGTCAGATGAGGAGGCTGTACACTACATGCAGAGTCTGATTGACGAGAGTGTCCATGCACTGTTTGCTGCGGTGGTGGAGCAGATCCACAAGTTTGCTCAGGTAAGTCCCCGGGGCTGTGTGCCTGTCTCACCCCGGCCAGGTACTAAGAGACACTCACCTGCTGGCTGACATCATTAGCCTTCCTGCTTTTGTGTTTCCACCAAGCCTGAATGACTTCTTAGCAGTGGGTGAAGGGAGCATCTTGAAATAATACCATTTCTACATGGAAGAGCATTGTAGAACCCCTTCATAGCAGTCTTTGTCCCATGCAGTCCATTAAAGTTCCCCTTGAAACTTATAGGCTTGGCAGACGTCTTGGCACATGGACTTAGACGCTCAGTGGTTTTGCTAAATGCTATAGTATCAGAAAAGGAGTTTAGAGGGCAGGGAAAGCAGTGTACACCCATCGGATATGGGTCAGTATTCATGGTAGCAGTGTCTCGTGTATAAGGAAACTTGCATGGCGGCCCTGGATTATGACCTTCAGATTTGATACGTTCCTTGTATGAATATCATAATGGAGATGATTATGAAAATGACTGTCAAAAAGTCAGACTTATTCTCTGTGAAGTCTTTCCTTACTGTATGTATTCACTAAATCTCTGTTATTTCTTTACTACTGCTTTTCTGTCACTTCCTGAAGAGTATTTTAATGCAGGTTTTCTAGGTTTGATAATGTCTTGAATAATAAAAAGCTTTTCTTGTATCCTTTCTCTATATTTAAATCTATTTCTATTCATTCTTAGCTTTATTCTAAGTTTTCTGGTCAGATATGCACTGGCATATGTGAGGATTGTGTATGTTCTCTTCTGTGTTGGATCTGTGTGGCAAACACAGGTATTTGCCTGTTCAGAACACAATCAAAAAGCCAGTGTTGTACTGCTAATAACTGTAACTGCATCCAGTTGTTTGAGAGTTGCTGTGTTTGGTTTTAAGCATTAACAGCAGTGTTAAACTTAATACTATAAATGCTTGATTATTTCCTGAACTTGAATCCATCAGACAATGAACTTGAGGAACTTTAGGTGGCATTTAGTCTTAACAAAATTCTCTGATGAAGCCAGCTTAGGTAGAAGGGCCAATGTCTACTGATGTAAAACTCACCTTGTATAAGGATTGTTGGTACTATATCTTTAAAATTGTAAGACTGAGACTTACACATGTATTACCACTTTGAGTTTTATGAACAAATAAGTAGGAAATAGAAGGTGCTAATTTTGAGCACATAAGAGTCCTGAGTGATAAAAAAATTTCCACAATACCCCTTTATGAATTTATTATTTTATTCTTCAACTACTAAGCGGCCTTTGCTCTTCAGCTGAGTATATAAGTAGGAACAGAGGTAGCCTTGCTGTTCCTCTTGTGATAAGTATCAGGGATTTTTCTATTGTTTGTATTTTGTTTTTACTGTGTGACTTGGCATAGTAGTCCCTCGTGGGTCCATACCTCATGTTCTGTGATTTTGACATTTCCTTGTGTGTATTAGTCCAGTAAAACCCAATTCTGCTAGCTCTGTTAATCATGCTTACCATAAAGTTTAAAGCCATGTAGTTATGACTGTTCTTATGTAGCCGCATTCTAAGCAAAAACACTAAAGTCCTTCAGGGTGCCCAGTGCACAGACGCCTTAGATGTAGTGCCTGCTATCTCACCTCTGTAGAGAATGTGCCTCTTTGTGTGTAACAAGCAATCCGTTTGGACCACGGGGTATCGGTGCACACACTTTTCTAGATGCAAAGTAAGTTTAAAAGAAAAGAAGTAGATGCTGTTGTGAGTTCCCATTATGTAGTCATTTCACCACTAGACTTGAAGAATAGCAGTGTACAATTTCTCATGGAACGAAACAAAATACTGAGTTCTGTTACCAGTGAAAATCTTCACTGAAAACTCATTGTGTTTTATTTAGAAATTTTCTGAAGAGCCAGGTGATTCCCTGAACAGTAGTTAAAGGTCTAATCATTGTGTGCTACTAACAGCGATGTGTCAACCCATGTCCCACACGTGTTCCTAATTCATTTGGAGCAGTAGACAGACAACAGTCATAATGGCTGAGAAACAACAGTAACAGCAGAGGCAGCAACCACATATCAGACACCAGCACTGATGTGTGCTCCCTGCATTACCTCAATTGGTTGTCTTGCCTGTGACATACATTCACCTTCTGGAAAACTGAGACCAGTAGGTAACATGGTCCAGGTCCATACCTGTCACTAAAGCGTTTTTTTGTGGCTATGCACTCAATTTCACTTTATTAGACATGAATAGAGTTTGTCATGAATAGGGTTATTCTCATTATTACTTATTTATAAATAAAAAAGAAATACTTTCATCTTTTCTTCACTAATTTTCTTATCAAAAGTAAAAATAAACTGTTGGGCATGAATTTGCATGCCTTTAATCTTAGCACTTGGGAGGCAGAAGCAAGTAGATCTTTGTGAATTCAAAGCCTACAGAGAGAGAGAGAGAGAGAGAGAGAGAGAGAGAGAGAGACAGAGACAGAGAGAGAGAGAGAGAGAGAGAGAGACAGAGACAGAGAGACAGAGAGAGAGAGAGAGAGAGAGAGAGAGAGAGAGAGAGAGAGAGAGAGAGAGAGAGAGAGAGAGAGAGAGCAGCAGGCACTGCACAGAAACCCCATCTCAGGAAATACAAATATTAAATTAAAAATCTTTAAACTGCTCAAAAGCCATATGTGTTCAGTCTATATAGTGTTACTCGTGTCTACCCTTTTAGAGCTGACCATTTTGCAGTGGATAACCAGTTGATGGTCTCTTCGCTGGGGATGGGCTGTTTCCAGCATCCCTCCATTGAATATAGTTCTTTGTGTAGACTTTTCCCTTTTGAGGTCGGCATGTTCATTGGTGCCATCTTGTTCAACTCACGTTTGGGGAGTCATCTTGGTGAAACTTTATGGGTGTAACTTCTGACATTGCTAGGAAACACAGTCTCACAGCAACTCCCTTATCCTTATCCTCTGGCTCTTAGAATCTTTCTGTTTCCTCTTCTGCAAAGTTCGCTGAGCCTTAGGTGTGGGGTTGCTTAAGTCCTTTTAAAATTGGTTCTTCAAGACTATAGGGAGCTGAATGTTGGAGCCAACTCTCATACTTAGTATTCTTAATTCTTCTTTTTTTTTTTTTTTTCATCGACAGACACTTTTGAAGTGTTTTAAAAATCATTTGAGACCATCTGTTCAGTCACAGGATTTTTCTCACACACACATAAAAACATACATAAACACGCATGGGGATTTTATTTCTGAAGTGCTTCCAGGATCTTTAGACTTTTAGCTTGTCAGTGTGGGCCTTCCACAGTTTGCCTTTTATGAGCATTTTCAATGTTTATCATATGAAAGCTTTTGAAAAGAACCTGGTGTGTCTCATGGCAGTCCCTCTCAACAGTGTCACCCTGGCCCAGCCTTTGTTGTGCTGGAAGCATGCTTCCTGATGGCTAGAGGACTCTTGAGGTAGGGCCTTGCTGCTGGGTCAGAGGCCTTGGGTTAGTTCCCATAGAGCCCAGCCTGGTTATTGCCACGTGTAGGTTCCAGATAATGTGCGTCATTTTGTGTGTTGCTTCTGAAAGTGTAAGTTACTTCTAAAGATTTTACTGTATTCTTTCTCTAAGTTGTATCGGGTTGAGCTTAGTCAGAGTGCCGGCAGTTTCTCATGCACACAGTTCATAGACACTGAAGGCATGAGGGTGTAGATGATACTGGATGCCTCCCTCTTGGCCTCAGCTGTGGTGGGCTGGCTTTGTTTTTTCAGGACTGCTTTAGGTGTGTTCAGACCAATGAAGAGTTCAGCACTTGCTGAATGGATGAAATGACAGGTATTCAGTTGTCTTAAGAGTGTGGCACTGAGAGCATGCTCTTTGCAGTGTAATTTAAGATGGGTTTGCCTTCCAGTGATGAGTGGAATTTTTTTCTCCCACATAATAATTTGACATTTTATTACAGTGAGTCAACAACTGCTCTCCCAAAGATTCTCTCACATAAACCTATTTCTCCACAAGCTTCGAGAATCCCATACATGGTCAGTTCCAGCCTGATCCTCTTTTGGGACATTTAGCAAACTGACTAAGTCACTTTTATGAGTCGTTGTTTAATCTTTTCTCATGAAGAGTGAAGTAAACTCTTTTGTTTGTTTTAATTTAATAGTACTGGAGAAAATGAAAGTGGATTGGGCTCATCCTGATATCTGGCTCAGTAAGAAAACCCACGAGAAGCCACTGCTGTAGACGCTGAAGACATCAGCGAAATGGACAAGAAAGAGAGGCGTCCAGAAGTTACACTGTGGCAAAGTAAACCTTGGCATAGAGGGTTTGTTTAAAGTGACTGTGTACAGAGCAGCAGGGCACCATAGCTCACATCTGTAATTCCAGAACTCCGGAGGCTGAGGCAGGAAGATTTGCCGCAAATTTGAAGCCATCCTCAGTTCCATAACAAATTCTGGGCCTGCCAAAAATCATTGTATGTATTTGTCTTATAATGTATAAAGATAAAAAGAGAATTATGTATGTTTTTAAAATTACAGGAAATTCTGTTATGAAACAGTAAAGCCTCTGGATCTTAAATGCCCTGTTTTCTTTTTCCATATGCATATTGATTTGTTTTTCAATTTTGAAGATTTTTTTCTCCTCTCTTCCTCTCTCTTTCATTCTCTTCCTCCCTGCCCCTATTTTTGTTCATTGGTTTCTGTGTAATTTACATAATTTGCTTTTACAGTTTCTCCAGGTTGTATACTCATAGTACATTCTTTTTACAGTTGAATAATTGCTTTTTTAGAAAGCTTTTAGTAGTGAGAAGCGGGGCTCGGCAGTCTGCAGCGTTGGCCCAGCCCTGACCCTGTGCTCTGTGTCCTGTCTTCCATAGGCAGCACTGAGCATCTCTGTAGGAGGTGGTGGAGGTGGGTGCGGCAGCTCAACGGGAGCAGGTAGGGGTCAGTTGCTTCTGCCTGTAGACAGGGCGGTACATGGTCCAGAGAGTAGGATAAGGGCTAAGAAGAGCAGTGAAGAGAAAACCAGTACTTAAAGAAAGGGTTATTTCTCTTAGAACTGCCAATATTGAGGTTTTGTTTTATAAACTACAGTTCACAGCTCTCCTGAGTTGCATGTATGTAAAATGGAAGGTGAAAGTGTGATGTGACTGTAGATACTGTCACCCAACATGAGGTCCCATCCCACTCATGTGACACGGTATATATTATCTTTCTGCAGTAAATTGTAAGAGGGTTTTACGTGTATTTGTGTATACCTAGAGGTGGGGGCAGCATGCCACGCGACTCGTGCGGCGGTTAGAGGACAGCTGGGAGGGGGTAGAGTCTCATCTGCCACCTCATGTATTCCAGGCACCAAGCTCAGGTGGCAAGACTTGGTGGCACCCACATTTCTTTACTCAGCGAGCCATTTCTCTGGCCCAATAAATTATTTTTCTATGCAAACTGAGATTTGAAATCTTTTTTAAATAGCTCAAGCATGTATCCTTCCTAAGTAGAATGTTTGTCTTTCCTGACTAGAATTTCCACCAATCCGGCTTTTTTCTGAAGAATTTTTGGAGAAAAGGAGCATCTATCCCTGGTAATAGAGTACCTCAATTGCCACGCCCGCTGTGCAGCCTGTATCTGAGAATGTGCGGAGGGTGTCGGGATTGATGACACAGACCAGAAGCTCCTCAAGAAGGCTTTTCTTTATTCCTATTCTGGCTGGTTATTATATACCCTGACACCAGAGGTGGAGGTGCATGGGTCTGAAGAGGCAGTTAGTCTTTGGAAAAGGTCGAGGACAGGGTGTGGGCACGCCCTTTTCAGGAACTTATTGCCCCGGGCATTGTATTGTTTTTAATAAACATGTTTTTAGTAAACATTGTCTTACAGCTGCCTACTCCCAGGCTGATGGGGAAGTGGGTCTCTGCCCAAGGTCTGGTGTCCCCACACTCAATTGCACTGGCACATTCATGTGTAGTCATGTGACCGTGTTGTGTTAGGAAAATTAGTGTTTCTTATTTAAGGCCCAGTGAATTTGTAGCAAATAACAGGATATATAAAGGCTGGAGGATTACTGCAGTTTCTGAGAATTCCACTAATGGTTATTTCTCACAGTTGTAACCCAAGCTTACCTCTAAAGGAACTTCTTTCATGATTGCCAAGATAGTATCCCTGAGACTCTTTGTTGTATATCATCCTCATCCGCACGAATTGTATAAAACACTCAGGCAGATTAGAGAGATGACAAAGAAGAAACAGCCTTTGAAATCATCATTAGGATCTGTGCCTGAAGTAACTGGCAGCTCCCTTCTCTCCACTCCGTCATGGGCTAGTGCCATTTTTCGTGATCAAAAGTCTTCACCCTCTGTGGTCACTTTGCGGCCTGTCTGTTGGCTCTTCCCCTGTCTTCTCTGACCCACCCTGTTGATAATGAAGACTCCGCCTCTGGTCAAGGCTACCATAGCTTTATAATTGGCATGTTGGTGAGTTGGACATTTTCGTTAGTTTTGGGTCTCCTGTCTCAGGGTTGTCAGGCTATTTCTGTGTAGGACCAGCCATGATGGTTAATATCTGCAGCTTTGAGAAGTTCATGGACTTCTCACATCTGCTATTGCACATGAGAGCATGAACGTGTAAAAGAGTCGGCATGGTCAGATAATGAGCTCTGCCTGTAATCTACTGAGCCTTTAGAAGCTCACTGTCAGATAAAACCTTTACAAACTCAATATTGTATAGATGGATGCCTGTGCCAAAGAGGACTCAGGAAATGATTTCTTTACTACTATGAGTTCTGTGCAGGTAAACCCTGCTGAGTGAGATTTGCTTAGGCTCTACCGGGGCTCCTTCCCCTCCTCCTAGTGTTTTATGCAATAAGTGAGACCTGATGAGTCATGTTTCTCTCTGATGTAGGCTTACCACCTACCACCGACAGCTACGGTCTATCTTCAGAGCTACACCTTCATATTCAGTAACCTGACCTTCCCCCTAGATCCCCAACAACCTTTTAAACATAACTTAAAAATTAGCATGGGACTGATACAGACACTCACACACACACACCCCTGCCCCCGAACCTGGGACCTTGGAAAGTAAATCAGTATTTATTTCTGGCATACAAATGGACTCTGGGAGCCCTTTCCACATGGAGGGATGCTCTCTCAGCCTGGACACATGGGGGGAGTGTTGGGGGAAGTCCTGTGCATTTGTCAATAAAGTACTGTTGAGCCTATAGGGAACCAAGATAGGAGGGACTAGGAGTCCAGGAGAACTCTGGGAAGGAGAAACACAGAGAGTTCGAGATGTAACGCCATGGGGTAGGAGCCCGGAATTATTCTCCGGTAAGAGACATGCTTAGATTAACAATTATGGGGTAATTACTTAAGTCAGAGCTAGCCAGTAAGAAACAAGCAAGGCCAACAGCTTCATAATTAATATAGCCTCCTGTGTGTTTATTTGGGGACTACAATGCGGCAGAGCCCAGGCGGCTGGCGGGGGATAAACCAAAGCGGCTAGCAAAGAAAAAGCTTCTCTTAACAGGGGAGGACCTAGGCCCTGACTGGGATTATATGACAGACTCTGGAAATCCCTCATGGAAGCCCTTACCCTCCCTGGGGAGCGGAGGGGGGGATGGAGTGGGGTGGGGGCTTGGGAGGGATGGGGGGTTTGGGGAGGAGGGGAGGGAGAGGGAACTGAGAGTAACATGTAAAAAGTTATATAAAAAACCTTGTTTCTTATCTAAATTTAAAAAAAAAGAATTAAAAAAATTAGGTTTGGTATTTTTTTTTAATTTTTTAAAGACTTATTTATTTATTACATATACAGTGTTCTGCCTACATGCCTGAAGAGGACACCAGATTGAATTGTAGATGGTTGTGAGCCACCATGTGGTTGCTGGGAATTGAACTCAGGACCCCTGGAAGAGCAGTCAGTGCTCTTAACCTCTGAGCCATCTCTCTAGCCCCTAGGTTTGGTATTTTTAAAACTGAAGTTTAACATACAGTACTGCAGTTCAACTTCACTGTCATCACTTTGGCCAGTTCAATTATATGCGCTGAGTGTGAAAAAGTTGGTCTGAGGTCGAAAGCCCGTACTTATGGACATAAATGACTGTTTCACAAATCAACAGTAGTAGGTTCCACCTCCGCCACCAGGATCTCTGGAACCTTGGGCTTTTTACCAGGTAGATGACAGTGAAGAGATCATTTATCTAAACAGGTAATTATAGAGTCACAGATATGACTACAGGAATGCAGGGTGTAGGGTAAGAGATGAGAAGTGCCATGCCAAGAGGAAGAGTAGTTCTCCCATTATAAGGAGAGGCTTCCAGGCAAGTCTCCCCTCTGTCATATAAGTGGGAAAATAGATACGCGGGGTATGTGGACGAATGAGAGCTCCTGGAATGATCTAAATGTTTCCTTGAGGCACCTTGTTAAATACCATTCAGACCCCACCACATTCAGACGCTTCATGAATTTCACTTCCTGTCCAGTTTCACCCAGCAGATAGCGTAGCAGCTATGCTCCAGTTTGCTGTCATATACACAATTCCTTTAGCAAGAACAGCTTCTTTCTTTCCCTTCTCTAATGACACACATGCACACACACACACACACACACACACACACACACACACACACACACACACACACACACACGGCTCGTGGTGCCTGGAAGAGCAGGCTCTTAAGTGTCAGCACGCATTGCTCTTGTTCATGTCTTTTATAAAGTATGATCCTGGCTTCATGGGGGTTTTAATGGTGGAGGGCACACATGCCTTTGCCTTCCCATAGAACCTTTCCTGCAGTTAACACAGATGCCCATTCCCCATATTCTAGTTCATTGAGAATGCTTATGATTATTAGAAATATCTTGTCACGGGAATTCCAATGTTTGCCACAGATTATTTAGAATTTATCTTTGTGTATCACTGAGATTGTTTTAAAAAAAAAACTCCTAAGCACCTGAGAGGAAAAGAGGACATTTGAACCCCTAATTTATAAACATGCTGAAGGGTCTTCCTGGGCTTCCTAATTATACCAGTCACAAGTACACGTTAGGCTTAAGCTAATTGGTTTCCATCACTTTTATCTGCAAGACTGATGTAATTGCCTATACCCAGCAGGGCACTGGAGCCTCTAAATAAAACCGAAGGGTCCTCCTGGTTAACAGCCCCTGGGTATTCAATGTGACCTTAGCTATTTCTGCTTAATCACATGAGAGGCCCTTTCCACTGCAGGTCACTCCATCTTCAGGAGTGAAAACGAGAGCAGGAAGGAAATGAAGCAATGCAACAGATACAGAGGGTGATGTCCGAATGTCAACTTAGAACAGTAATTCCCTACCAGGGGCCACATTTTCAATATTCATATTCCATACAATAGTAACAAAATGAGAGTTATGAAATAGCAGCGGAAACAGTCTTATGGTTGAGGGTCCCCACAACAGGAGGACCTATATTAAAGTGTTGCACCATTGGGAAGGTTGAGAACTACTGACTTAGTAACGGGGGAAACTTGGAGGAATTTGGGGTGCAAATGATTTCGTTCAGCATAAAGATTCAGTGAGGAAAATGTCTTTTTAGTAAGGAATTTCTATTATAGGTAATGTCCCCATTGGTCAGATTTCTAACTTCTTAAAAGGTTTTACACACTTTTCTTTCTGCTCTAAATTGTGTATAATCTTTTTCTCTTTTTTAATAAACTGTTTTTCAATGGTGTTTGTGCTGTGTAAAAATGTAGTTTTAATCTGCTTCTTTAACAACAAATGCATTTATAAAACTAAGCATGTGACAATCAATGTGTGATCGTTTGCCTAATACCTATTTTTAATTTTGTTATTTTGGGATTAATTTATTTTTAACATTTTTTCCTTCCCCTTCTTCCCTCTAAACTTTCCAATACACCCTTCCCTACTCTCCAAATTCATGGCCTCTTTTTTCCTTGATTGTTACTGAATGCATGTATGTGTCTGTATAATGTTACTGATGTGTAAGTTTCCAGGGCTGAGTTTTGGTACTGGAGAGCCGCTCTTCCCTGGGAAGGACGACCTGCGATGCTCCCAGCTCTCCTCAGTTTCTCGTGGTTATTTGCATAGGGTTGGGACCTAGTGAGCTTTCTCCACAAAGCAGGGTATGTCCAAAGAGAAGGGGCTAAGCAAATGTACAGCAGTGGATTCAAAGGTGACTGGGGTGTAACCATCCTGGAAGTTCTTCGCTTTAATTTCCTGTTTATATTTTCTTATACCTTGACTTTTGTAACAAGAAACTAGTAGCTAGAAAATCTTAAGCATGGGGGAAAATTGATATTAGACAACAGAGCGGGCACACAAGGGCTAGATTAACAGAGGCACCAGGACTTTTTCCAGGAAGCCATAGTGGCCCCAGTGCTGGGATTGGAGAAATTGGGAGATGGCGCCTCTCAGCAAAGCTGTGTGGCAGGACTGTTGTCAGGTCCTTAGTCT